CTGCACTACAGGAAGACAAGGATGACCCCTTTTTCAAATAAGCTTTCAGAAAAGTAAAAGGCATGAAAGCAGAGAGTCTCGGGTGAGAGGTGGCGGCTGTGGCCGGTTGTATACCATGTAGTGTCTAGGATGATGCATCACTAAAACATACAGCAGCACAAAGTCAGGGCTGGATCCCACAGGGCTGCAGAGCACTGCATGTTCCCGATAGAAGTCTCCAGACATAAATAAAAAAACAGCACATGCAGGTCTCCTATGTGTCTGCATCTGTGTGTGTGTCCTGGAAAATGAACCCATATATCACATAAAGGACCACTTCAGTACTATTGCTGAACATTTCTTGTCAATAACGTCTATAATGTAGTTGATAAAGAATTATTCTCACCACTTTATAATGAGACGCCCTTTATGAAGTATTTAGAAGAGCTAATTTATGGCTTTAGAGCTGCACTGATTAGTCGATTAATGGTTCAAGTAATTTATCAAGCGTAACTATCATTAATTTTTCTGTTTCCAGCTTCTCCAATGTAAGAATCTGCTGCTTTTCTCTTTTTTTTATAACACTGCTAAATTCATATCTTTGGGTTTAAGATATAACAAGCAATCAAAGACTTCCCCTGAGGTGTTGGAAAATTTCATTGGCCTTTTTTGTACCATTGAGATTTTCAGAGATTTAAATAATTAATTGAACAACTTTTGGGTTGTCAGGCTCTAATAAATCTACCTCCAGAAACTTGCTTTGTGATTTTAGCTTTCTCTTTCACCTAGTTCATCAGGAAGACTCCTTAAATGGACTGGTGGTTGATGTTAATGACTTAAAGGAATAGTTTGATATTTTGGACTTATTTGCTTTCTTACCCAGAGTTAGATGAGAAGATTAATAGCCTACCACTTGTCTTTTCAGTAATTATGAAACTACAGCCAGCAGCTGGTTAGCTTAGCTTAGCTTAGCACAAAGACTGGAAACAGCTAGCTTGGCTGGTCCAACTGTTAAAAAATTACTAATTACTAACTCATTAACACTATATATGTCCTTAATTTTGTAATCCTTACTGAAAACTATGTGTAAAAATGACAATTCTCCATTTCATGGTGACTAGTTTATGTGTCAAACTTGGTCCCATCCAAAGAAAGTAATTTTACAATTAGTTTTTTAATGCAGACGCATATAAAACATGTTAATTAGGGATCTTTAGATGAGCTGCTAGGCAGATTTTGTTACACATGGACAAAGCAGGCTAACTGTTTTTCCTTGTTTCCAGTCTTTCTCCTAAACTAAGCCACGGTTTTGCTATCTTCTCATCAAACTCCCGGGTAGTACATGAAAGCATAGGCTACTTCCCAAAATGTTGAACTACTCCTTTAATAGTAATGTTGTTAATGAATGGTTTTCTGGTCCAGATGTCCTGCAGCCCTTTTCCTAATGGTAAGTGGTGGACCTGCCCAGTGGAGGGAGTCTTCCTGATTAAATAAGAGCCATTTATGCTGAATGAGTATTTTCCACAACCCAAAAGTTGTTTTTATACAAATAAATTTTTCTGACAATAAACACCACAGTATCGCTGTAAAGTATTTTCTGAGCACCACAGACAAACCATAATATCCTACAGGAATATTATATTGAATTCTCCTGCCACTGGACCTGAAGTGACAGGTGTCACTGACCTACTGGATAACTTCCACAAAGATAAAAGTCCCACATGTTCTCCAGAACAAATTCATTCAGAAATGGATGTCATGCTACTTTCTGCCAATCGAGTGACCATCAAAGGCTATAAGCTGGAAATAAGTCGCGCGAGCTCATAGCCGATGGCAGGCTGACCTCTTCATGCAGTCTATTCAGGCCAAATGCATATAGGCTACATACCTTGGCATGGGACGTCGGTATACTGGTGAGCAGCAGGAATTGAAACATTCCTAGAATAACTTGAAGCATAATCCCCATTGTGCAGGAGTCCAAGGGGCACGTAAAAATATTTTTTGGACCGATCCAATAAAAGAAAATAAAGAAGGTGGCTTGTCCGACAGTGTCCTTCCTTCGCTCCTGTGTCCGATTAAAGACGCAGAAATCCCGCTTTCATTCTCCAGTCTCCCCTTCCTTCAAAGGACACCCAGGGTGGCATCCTCAGTGCTGGATTAGGCTAATAACTTTATCTTTTTGTGCTTGAGACAAAATTATTGTTTTCACTGGAGGAGTCAGTTCCCAACCCAGACTTTGATAATAGATTAGTTAAAGCCTTGTATTTAATTAGTGAGGCACTGCCTGTTTAAAATAACCCTCCCTCCAGTCATTTCAACATATAAAGAGAAAATATGCCATCCTCAAGTAATAATTTTAAATCCCACCCTGGCACTATAACCTTAAAATCCTGAGATCTGAATGAAACTTTGAGTGGTGCCTTCCTATGTAGCCTTTATTCAGGGCACCGTCAGTCTATTGGTCCTGATCCCATGAAACCAGTCTGGGGGTCCGGGGTGGCGTGACTGGAGGATCATCCAAATTCCGCTAAAACGTGTTGTGCGGCTGAAACAAATCACACCATCCAGCTATAGGAAATTTATCCGGTAAAGATCCGACGCTTTGGTCAGGCGTGCAGAGGGACAGTGCCGCATATTCCGCTCCCCGGCTCGGTCACAGCCTCTCCACGCTGTCGCTCCCTCTGAAAATGTGACGTTTCCCTTCCAGGCGCATCTTTCCCTTTTTTTATCCTCTTATACATATCACTAGAATAACATCCTCCACAGACATGGCAGTCCAGCTACAACAGAGCCCGTGGAGCAGCAAGGCAGTCCGCAGACACACAGAGAGATCTGGAAAGGTATGGTCTTCATTAGTTGTTGTGATCGGTTTCCTCGTTTCCTTTGCCCTTGAGACGCACGCAGCGTAACCATTGCGCTGCCAACTTTTTCCAAACGGGACAGGCGCAATGGATACAGGTGCAGCGTCTCTACTGGTCCCAAAGTGGGGGGTCGGGGTGCCTTCAGGGGCCCCTTTGTTAGTGGGGAAAAGTAGGGTGGCTGCCACTGAGGTCATGTCCTCTGTATTGTTTCTTTTTAGTTAGGCATTCTCTAAGGGTTTCTGTTCTACTAATTATTGTATTTAAAGAGCTGAGATTGGTCCATTAATGGATAATTCGATTGTCAGAAAATGTATCTGCAACTTTTGATAATTGATGAATCTTTTTAAGAAAAATGCAAAATATTCTGGTTGTTACACTGCTCATATCTGAATATTAACTTGTTTTTGTGTTCCTCTATGATGGCAAACTGAACATCTTTGGTTTCTGACTGTTGACAAAAACAATGTGAAGATGTCATTTTTTCCCTATTTTTTTTATACATTCTTTAGACCATAAGCATGAATTGAGAAAATGATCAGCAGATTAAATGATAATGAAATGGTTAGTTGCAGCCCAATATGTGTCAAACCTTCATGTTGGACAATAACATTTAGTAACAAGGTATTTTGCCAGTCTGTAATTTCTAATATAAGAAATAAATAATTTCCTAGGAATGTTTCTGGAAACTAATCACAGACGAAATAGAGACCGACTTGAACTGGTAGACTTTCAGTTCATTCATTTCAATGACCCTTCTTGTGTAACAAAGAGTCAGAGCAGCAGGTCACCATTTGTCTAGAGCACTCAACGTATATGGAGAATAAAGTTTCCTGTAATGAATGAATGACGAACAAAGATTTTTTGTTTATATTTAGCAGTTATTTCCAAGACATACCTCCGGAAATCAACAATACACTCAACACACTAATGCATTTATACAAAATATAGTTAACATGACGTTTTCCTCAACATCTTGGCTTCTGCCCAAGCGGGGAAATATTATGACACCTTGACCCTATAAATGTGAATACTGTTTCACTTCCTCCTATCAACTTTTCTTATTACATCAAATGTTTTTCAGAACAGAATCACATCAAATAAAGCACTACTGTGTAAAAGTCTGAGGGTCAGTCTGTTAACAATGATTTTTTTTTCTACTCCATATCACTATCTTTTGTTTTCCAAACAATAAATCAGAGACAACACACAAAGTATTCTTTCAGTACATGATCTGACACACTTTCCCTCTGCTGCTCATTGAATTAAAGATAGAAGTCAATTAAAACTATCATCATAGCTGTTTTTTCCTGTGTACTGTTATAGCTGCCTCTCCCATCAGGCTTGTCTTCCACCGCATGTGTGTGTGGAGGCATGCTTACACCAGAATCTAAGTCATTATGCTGTGTTTGGGTTATGACAGGGCACTCACACGCTACATGAGGGTGAGGGTGTCTATGCAGGGATGTGTTATCTCCTGCTGAAGTCTCAGGACAGGGGCCGCTGGTGACAAGAAGACAGAGAAGGGCAATATCTTTTCTTAAAAACACACTCAGCATGGTATTTCAGTCCATACTCGTGCACACATTCTTTAAAAAAAAAGAAACCAAGCCTCTTTTCCATGATGTCAGCGGCACACAAATTTTGCGTACCCAGGACGTTCTTATGACTTTGAGTTTCATAACTTTCATGTTGAATGTAAATATGCAAATAAACATGCCATGGGCTGTATCTGTAAAGTCAGATTTCAGTTGATCCCATCTGCAACTCCACATGTAAGATTAAGTTTAAAAGAGCAGTTAACTTTAAGAAATTTTGACCAGAGATAATGGAAAATGAACTTCAAAATTCTCAAGTAAGGCAGGTAAATAATTATCTAATTAGAACAGTACTGACTCGTCTGTGTGGTTGCTCATTAAAAAGCAACAGCCTACATCTGAATGTCTAAGCCTCTTGCTAACTCGGCCAATCAGTGGAAATGAAATACACTGTAGAAAGATATCGCTAAAATGATTATAAACTTTTAATAGTTCACCCAAAACTATCTTAGATGTATTTAAGATAATAAGGAAAAACACAAGCAATCAATTCAGAATTTTTGAATCTCAGTGTCTGTAGTCTGAACCAATGCATGTGTGAATGAGAGACAAAACAAACGGGAAGTAACGATTGATGAGAAAAAGTTGATCTTTTAATCATTTCTTTCTGACAGCTCTTAAGGGAAGAGGGAAGGCAGTCAAAAAACAGAAAAACATGTAATGTAATAACATGTACAGGTGAGTTCTTCAGAGAACTGTGGTCATTATGGCACAGAGAGTATTGTGTACATTCAGTAGGTAGATCCTTCTCACGGTCACATCACTTCAAACATTTTACCAACTATAAACGCTTCAACAGACCAGTCCAGTCTGATGTACAGTTCAGCTTGGTCATGAAGAAACACTTGTATGACCAGACGAAACCCTACCACATGTTCACCTGTGCATCTTCAAGTCCTCAGTTGTGGTGCTGAGGACAAACCCCAGGCATTTTTAGCTTAAATTAGTTAAAAACTTTAAAATCCTTAAAACCTGTACCACATTCAGCCTGTTTCCAATCTTCCACCTGCTGGCAGTTTGAACTCCATCATCACTGAGCACAGCTGGAGACTCTCCTATTTGTCCTCTCCACCGTTGTGGATTTTATATTTCTCCAGAAACTCAGCATGTTTCTGCCGCAGGATTTCTGTCTGCTTCTTGAAACCATTGATCCTGTGAAACAAAAAACACCTTCAGACTCAGCTCCGTGTTCAAGTGTCACAAAACACAGACAGATTTTACTATTCCCAGCCAAACATAAATTTGAACAAAAACTATTTTAAGGGAGTTTTTACACTCACCTGGCCCTCTCTTTGGATTCATTGTAAATTTCCGTGATGACTCGATCTTTCTCGTCCATGAAGTTATTGTGAACTTCTTCCAGTTTCCTGAAAGAGTCAGAGAAACACTTGAGTTCACAGAATAACTTTGCTTAACCTAAAAGCTCATTGCTCAGCAGGCGCTCTTGTGTGCTCAGTTGTATTTATGAGTTTGTACAGCTGTTATAACAGCTCTTCACATCACAAAGAAGTGAATCTCCACAAGCAGAAGTGGCACCGAGTCAGTTTGTGAAAACAAATACAAAGCCACATGGCAGAGACATGTCCACAAACAATCCCATTCAGCTGGATGTGAATGTTCAGCAAAGAAAACTCAGACGCGTGAATTTAGTAAATAAGATGGATGGACTGCAGTTGGAAGTTCAATACAAGAGTTTAGCATCGAAGGGTGGCAGAGTAATGAGTATAATTTTACCTTTCATATACCTTATTGTTACGTGACATTCGCCTTTTAACTGCTTTATGACTTCCCGTTAAAAATGTCTTTCCTAACATAAAGTAGCCACACAGTAAATATCATCCGGTTCCAGTTTTTCACCTGAAAAAGACTACGTGAGCTCCAACACTGAGCACCATAGCGATGATGCAGTAGCCAACCAGGCGGAAGTTCCTCCTCCTCTTCCTCTGCCATTCCTCTGGCGTTGCCTCCTGTGCATGAGAGTGATGAAACTGCTCCCAGTACCGCATGCTCTCCTGGGTATCCGTACTGATTGTAAAGTCCAAGAATGATCATGATTGATGATTGGTGACATCAAAAACAGAGGTGGGACAGAAGGTACAAATGTTAAAAACAGATTGAACTGAAGCGTTAATGAGGCAACTATTAAAGGGGCATTATGTAGTTTTCAGTGGCCACTAGCGGTGCAGTTCTAAGATTGCAACCAGGTGTGTGATCGTACACGTGTAATAATCTGAAACCCAACCACTTTCATACAGAAATACAGCAATAAACGCAGAAACACCATCATGCAGGCTGCCGCATACAAGCACAACACTCCTGAATAAAGGCAGAGTGACAGCAGCTATAGACGGGCAGGGAGAACAGACAGAACAGTTAGACCGCAGTCAGTAACTTTACTGTAGTGCTAGTGGATGGCTCTTCCTCTGTGTTGTTGTGACATGGTACACATGGTAGTAATATTGGTCGTGTTAGCTGGTGAAGTGATGTGGAAAGCGATACAACTTTGCATCGGTAAATGTTAGCAACGGCTTTGCGTTAGCCTGCAGGCTAACGTGACACTCTGTGACCTTCTGGTGTGACTCTTTTTACCCGACATCATCTGAATCTCCTTTGGTCTGACAAACTTCATCACATAAACCTTTATAGTTGTTTTTATCCTGACATGGAGTTTATGTTGGAGTCAATGTTTTGTGGTGTTGGTGGACTGCATGTCTTTAGCTCGGTGTTGTTGCTGTCGTCAGAGAGAGGCTCGGGAGCGCGTACCGAGCTGAATTCGACCTGGTGTCCTCACATTAAAAGCAGAATAGTGGCTGATGCAAGCAACGGAGAAAACAGGCGTGTGCTTAATTTCTAAGTGAGTTATGAGCCCATTGGCAATAAGGCAATGACAATTTGATTTATTAGTAAGTGATTTCATTGAAAAACTTACATTTAGCCCCTTTAAGAAGTACATTTCCATCAAATATGTTGGACAATAATGTTTCTGACTCTACCACTCTAAACTCACTGATTTTAATTTTTTTTTCTTGAAAAATAGGACAACTTGAGATGTAAAATCTTAAATGGTTTCCAGATAGATAATAATGTATCGGAAAAAAGACTGTCATGCTTTGTGCAGAAACAATGTTGAAAGCACAGTTTCTAGACTTTTGCACAAGGTTAAACAAAACTTGAAACATCAAACTATGTATCTTCACAAGAATAGTATGTCCAATGAGGGTGTTACAGCAAGCGCAAACTACCCCACTTAGTTTTAGTACTGATGCAGAATTTCTTATTTCTGCAATAGAAAATCAGCCAATTGTCTTGTTGTTTTCCCCCATACTAACAGTGTTTAAGAGTGAGGAAGAAGGTCAGGTTACGTAGGACTAATAAGCACAGTTTGTGAGTATCTTCACCTGGCTCTGTAGCTGGAGGTAGATCTGAAGGCCTGGCCCCCATGTCTGACTTTGAAGTCATACTCCTTCCTGCTCAGGTCTTTGCTCAGCACTCGGTAGGCCTCGTTCAGCTCCACAAACTGGCTGTGGAGCGCTGGGTCGGATGGATTGCTGTCTGGGTGCAGCTACAGAACACGTGGGTCAGTTACAGTGATGAGGTCTTACCGATCAAACCAACCAATGAAATGGTATTCTAGTGCGGGCATGTGCTTATCTGGACATGTATACTTGCATTAGCCCACAAACATTGTTCTTACTCTCTCTGGTAAAAAAAAAATGCATGCATATGTATTGTATATAAAGGGTAAGTTGTCTCAACCCTCAATTATGCCAAACCACAAGGTAAATACACATGCACATCCTTGTTTACACTGGCAGCCACAGCACAAAAACAAACAGTCAGGAAGCACACTGTGGGAACAGTTTAAAAGTAGAAACTAGATTGTGAAAGGCTGCCCTCATGTGGCCACACATTTTCTTAAAATGCACAGCATGTAAACAAATGAGGACTCATACCTTCTTAGATTTGTCAAAAAATGCATTTTTAATTTCCTCCAAGGTGGCATCAGATTTCACTCCCAGGAGGTCGTAGTAGTTCACAGATTTTCTGTGGTTAGAAAACAAATAACTCAAAACCAAACAGGCATTCAGACCTGTACAAAGCAGAGAACATAAACACAATCACTAATGTTTTCAGTCATTCTGATTAAATTCAACACACACACACATATAAACAATTTCTACCTGTGTGCATAGCTCTGGGAGAGCAGACGCAGCCCACTCTTGCAGCACCACAGACAACTCTGGCACAGACGCAATTGAGCCTCCAACTGCATGATGGAATATTGCTTGGGATCCACCTTTTATATACAGTCTATGGGATCCACACACCTGTGCAGAGAGGAGCAATGATACAAAGACCATTATAGGAGAAGCAGGGAGAGATTCGGAAACTAATGTAAAACCGCATTTGTATAGCACCTTTCCGACCACTCAAAGGGCTTTTACACTACATCACCAGTCACACACATTCTTACACTGGTGGAACAGCCACCAGGCAATTCAGGCTTCAGTATCTTGCCCAGGCACACTTCAACATGCAGCCAGGGATTGAACCGCCGACCTTCCGATTAATCTCCTGAGCCACAGCTTTAAACAACAAACAAAAATATTAACAAATAAGTGGGCAGACTCCAGACCGAAGACTCACAGCATTTTAAATATATGTTTATGTTGCATTTTGAGTTTACAAATCTGCTTCTGTTGGAAGGACAAAACGTGGTGTTTCATGACTCTGAAGCTAAAATGCATCCAAAGGAGCTCTTAGGGACAAAACCAAACTGGCTTGAAAAATGGATTTAAATTGTAAATAAAATAAATTGAAAGGGCTATTCACCTTAGGAGTATAATAGCAATATGGATAATAAACATTAAAAATGACAATACATGTGCAAATGTAACCTATTGAAGGTGAACCCAACCATTTTCTGTATCTTAAGAAAATTATAATAAAATTATATATATAAAATACAAGAGATACACTGCTGGTGGAAAACGTGGTTAACCTCGTTATTAGACATGTCTCTCTCTTTACCTTTCAGTGTGTTTCCACTGAAACTGATGCTTTCAGCAACTTTCCCCTCATCTGTTGACACGTGACATTACTGAGGACAACGACAGGGGACGAGGTGAGTGCCAAATACTTTAGAAAAACTAACCAACCAACACTTCCAGCTGGCCCTATGACCTTTCTTATTATCTGCTGAAACATCAAACGTTTTATTTACTTTGACATCATGCAGCTTTGTTCTCGGGGCATGTTCACACTTTGTAGGTTAGTTTGCTAACCTCACACTGCCTGCTACACAGTGACTGCTGGGTTTGCACATGAAGCATTTTATGAAATAAACAGTCAGATAAAAAGCAGACAGTGCCAATTAGTTCCTAGCAGGTACACTTTGTTGTTGTGCTACCTGAACAGCAGAGCTAACGCTAGCCGGGGTTGGCTTCAACTACCTGACAGCCATTCTACTGTTAGCCTGCTAACATTGATCCAATTTAGCTAACGGTGTTGTGTGAATGATGAAGAACAAACATTAAACACTGCCACAAAACTGGAACCAGTAAAAAGCCAGCATTTAAACGAAGAAAAGTGACATACCAGCGGAAATCAGTTTCATAACAGTAGCTGTGCTGTGGGGCAGTTGCATAAACTCAGCTGAGTTAAGCTAGCTAAAGTTAAATTGGAAACCGGAAATCTTTCCTTCAAAATAAAGGGCCACTTTTCTCACGCTGAGAGATTAGTCATTATAGACCAGTGGTTCTTAAAGTGGGGTCCAGGCAAAAAGTTAAAAATTGTAATTGTAGATTTAAATCTTAATACATTAACCACCGTTCTTTAATTATATAAGTCCACCCATAATGTGACAGAATGTTGGACTATTTTGGTCGTGGGTTCATACACTTTCTCTAATAATATGTCTAAAAGCAAAAATCCTATAAGATATTGTCTGCTACATAGACTACAAACTAATTTCCACTTTACAATCTGTTGTAATGTGACAAATAACTCTACCCACTACCTTTTACCTTGTTTGTAGACTGTACGAACATGTGCCACTGCTGTGACACAACATATAACACAATATAAAAATTAAATTTTAAAACTTTTTTTGTCAGAGCCTATATAACACAAAATAAGCCTATATTATATTAAAGTGCAATTTATATTGATAAACTATAACTGCACTTTATTTGGCTAAAAAGTGTTTCTTACATACAGTATTTGTACAGTGGTTCTTTCTGTATATTATGTACCGTTTAACTAAAACTTGCGACTTATGTTATGGTTATGAGGCATTGCCCAGGATGTGCCCAGTGTTCCCAGTGACCGGTGTGCCGAATTCTGCCTGCCTGCAGAGAATTGCATGCACCTCGCAGGTGAGAACGGCCATTTATGCTGAGAAAAGAGGTGGATGCAAATCTCGGCAGGTAGCCTACAAAATTTGATCTGCCGAATTATGCATCCACCTCTTTAGGTCCTTTTCAGACACTTTGCTGTGCTCATTGATCAAACGGCGTTATCACCACATATATTTACTGAATGTCAAGGAATGGTACTTCTGCTAAGTGTATTGAAATATTAAAGACTCTAAACGTTCATAAAATATATACTTCGAATCATTTAACACCATTGATGAACCCCACAAAGAATATTATAGCGTTTAAAAGTAGTATTTGGAGGTGAATGCAATTCTCGGAAGGCAGGCAAAACTCGGCATAACACCGGAAGTTGTCGTTGATTAAAGGCAATTTAGCAGAACGCAAACACGCCCCTGCACGTGTTCGTTTTCCTGAAATTTAACCCTGTTTTTGCCGTGTTTAGTGAATGCTTGCTCTATTATGCTATGTCCTAAAACGTACATGTATGTCTTGAATAGGCTACAACATATCACAGGCACAGTTTTTAATTTAATTTATTTTTTACACATCTGTAAAACATTTCTGATAATAAATGGCTTCAGATTCCTGCAGTTCAGGCTCTTGATCACTGTGTGGTGATAATGAACATATTTCACGGTGTGTGTCAAAAACCGAGGAAGAAACTACACTCTAGTTCCCTCGCATTATACACTTCCACCCAGGAAGGTAAGATCAAACTCCTTCATCGTTTGCACCCAGATTTGACAGATTATGATAGTTGTCCAGGCTACTGTAGTAACGTTACACGCGGTATTATCATTTGACATAATAATCTGTGATTTGTACTTGTCTGTGTTCATTCGGTCTGTGCTCAGCTCCAGGATGAAATTAAACTAACAGTCGGATCACTTTACAACATATTATCTTAAACTTATTTTCACTCCAGAGAAGTTAATTGTTTCAGACGGCTTTTTTGTTGTTGTTGCAAACTTTATTTAAATTGTCGGCACAAACATACAACATTTACAGACACAAACAACATTTAATTTTCCAGGGGTACAAGAAAAACTTAGATTCATTAAGTCCGGATTAAAGCACCAATTTCTATTTTTGAGTTTCAATATTAGTCACAATCAATCAGAAGTGTTGGTTGCATGTAATTGCACAGTCCTTTTGAGCTTTGCAGTTTATATTTTATAGTCCATATCGAGATCATTCTTAAAGACAGGGAGGGATGCTTTTGAACCAGTAAATATACATTTGTGGATAAGGTATTTGGCAAGTAAGAATAATAGACTTGTTATGAAATATAGAAATATAGTCCTTTCTAATCAAAAACACCAAAGAAAACCTCGTTAGACAAAAAGAAACACCCGGAATGAGATAAGCCTGAATGAACTTCAACGGGCTTCGAGGTATGTTTTCTCCCGTTTGGTGGGCGTGTCTCAGGTGTTACCCAATCAGCTGCGAAAAGTTTGTAAACACAACGGTGTTAAAAAGCTAGGAAAATGCATTGCGCTTGCCTACACAGCAGGTTGTTCAAGGCTCCACTGTTTCCGTTGGAAAAAAACGTTTTGCTACGTTTTGTCGGCGCTGAACTCGCCCCTGTTGTTTCAGACTAAGTACATTGCGGTCAATATACCATGTGACTGATGACATCCTGCTGTGACATCACCGATTGGGGTGTGGCCAGAAGCACAATTTTATTGCTTCATAGAGGACAGCAGCTGCAGTTTTCTGCCCTTTGTGATAGTGTTCACTTAGAAAATTACTTCCATGGCAAGTTGAAAAACCTTCATCCATGGACATCAGCTCTGAATAAAAGTGGCCACTTAAATGCCCTGCTCATCTATATAACACATCATTTATACAGCTTAGACCTCTACTTAGAGTTATGATGGTACTTACATGGGGTCACCAAACTCCATGTAATTACAATGATAAAGGTGGACGTTTTTACAGATGACAAACAAAGCTGACAGGATAGTGAAGCAGATGTCACTCAAGGACAATTTGTACACATCCAAATTAGATTAAGATTAAGTGGACTATAACTCTGTGGGACTTTTAAAAGTCCTTTTGTGTACAGGAAAGGGGTAATTATGTGATTGTTCCTGAAAAATGGAAATGTGGACATTGTAAAATGTAAACATTTCAGTAGTTATTTGAAAATACTGATAATAATAACTGAAAATATTAGGCCAACCAAACACCTGTAATCAAATTCACCAGTTTACATAAATGCAAACAATGCTTAACATGCAGCTATTTATCACTTACTTGTTTATTTTTACCAGTCTTTGTTCAGCTTCGTTGTTTTAGCTGTATGTCGATTTCTATGTTGCTGTAAATTGTTCCGTGTGTAAGCACATTTAGAGCAACTTAAAACATTTAGAGCCTGCGGCTCATTGTATTTTATCTCTGCAGAAATAAATAAACATATACATTTAAATGAATTAGCCGTTGATAAATGACACACATAATGAAAAATTTAACTTCAACTTAAAGTCCAAACTACTCATCTTGGTGAGTGCTGCTATGTGTTGATTTGTTTGAGGCAAACTGTGTATTCAGTGCATTCAAACGTTTATAGTTTCTGTTTCTTTCCTGTGCATTTTGTTTCCTTAATAGGAATATTAACATTTAAAAACAAGTGGTATTGATATTTTTACGTGTGGATTACAGATCTGCAACAGTGTGAGTTAAGAAATAGTTGACGGCCCCAAGTGAGAATCCAGTGACAGATGATGGACTCCGAGGTGTCTGTGCTGCTGAACTGTGCAGCCTGGAGGGGCCTGCTGGAGCCTCAAGTACAAGTGGAACTGTCTGAAAGGTAGGAACATAAATCAGGCCTTTGAACTGTGGAGATATATTTAAAGAGACTTTTTACTTTACAACACAATGGCTCAAACATGGTATTGATACTGAGAAAGTGATATAACATGTTGAAATAAAAATCCTTTTGTTCACCATTGGCACTCGATTTTCTCAAGAATTTACCAAGGTGTCATATATATATATATATATATATATAATACACACATACTCTGTATATTGTCAACAAATCCTATGAAAAGACCAAAAAAGGCAAATACTGTCCAGCCTGAAATTATCTTAATCCTCTGTACCAAAGACCACCGTTGTTGTACACAAACTATTAAAAACACTTCAGTGAGCTGCACTGGATGACATGTTTCTTTACAATGAACATCAGCACAATAGTTTATTTTGAGTCAATCCCTCAAACACTGTATGGCTAATTCAAATATACAATAGTGCGCCTGAAAGTAGTCCCCAATAAATGCACTATTACACCTGTTTGAGTAACATTTGCTCAAAACTACAAGTGATTAGCTGTTTGGCCTTTTGTAGTTTAAATTTTCTATTTGTGATTCATTTTTAAATAATTACGATTTCATGGGAAACCAGTGGGAATGGTAGGGAAGTATTTTTCTGGGATTTGTGACAATAAGAAAAATATAGAATAACACCAGCCTCATCTTTTTAATGTCGTAGTTTGACAACAGGCAAAATGTAATTGGAGTAATCTAAAAAGTGTTGTTTTACTTCCTCTCCCTCTTCTCAGATTCAACAGGCAGACGGAACCGGCTCTGGAGTGTCAAATAGAGGAGGTGTGGGCAGAGCGGGTGTCCAAGGAGCCGTGGCTTTTCAACGGGTCCAAATTCAGGCTACACTCTTTCTGCTTGGCCTCTCCATGCTCTGCTCCTCCTCAACACCCACCCTGCACTCATTCACCCCATGTCTTAAACCATGCAGAGGATCAGGAAGGGGAAATACACAGCAGACTAACAATGGAGGATAATTTGTGTACCAGCAATTCTCTGCATGACACTACTCAGAACAGTTTGCACAAAGGAAACGGATCTGTGAATCAGGCAGGAAATGGAGATGGAGTTATCAATCAGACAGCCGGTGCACTGTCACAAGCTTCCTCCTCTTGTGACTGCAGAGAGTCTGAAGGCATCGCAGCTGAACTTCCTTCTCATTTTGACAAAAACACAGATGATCAAGAGACCAGGACGCTTCTCACTCTGAGACTAGGCCTGACATGCTATAAGGACTATCTTGGAACCAACTGGTCCCTTCGAGTGGCAGAGCTACGTCGGCTGGGAGAGGCGGAGTTCGGTGATCCTCTGGCGCTGCTGGCTCAGCCTCTGGGTGTGGGCGCCGTCCTGTGTACAGCAGACGGTCAGGTGGTGTTGATCAGGAGGAGCCAGAGAGTGGCAGAGGCAGGGGGGCTCCTGGACATCCCCGGAGGTCACCCAGAGCCCAAGGTGATGTAAATTAATTGATTTAAGTGTCATCAATATGCTCGGTGTGTTACTTATTGCTGGTCTCCTCAGGTGGTGTGTGAGCGTCTGGGCCAGGCAGTGTGTGAGGAGCAGATCAGTGTGGACATGATGCAGCAGAGGCCCGTTGTCTCAGAGCTGTTCTCGTCTGTGTGCGCCGAGATCAGAGACGAAGTGGGTTTCTCTTCATACCACTGTAAACTAGTTATTTCAGGTCAAGTTGATGTTTCCACAGTAGACACTTCATTGATGTCACTTTTTTTTTGGTCTGCGAGGTGCTGCTAATGACTTAATAGGATAAAGTGCACAGCTTCATATGCTCTTCTATTTCCTTATGATTTGTTGGTAAATAAATGAACCCTCTTTCACTCCCATACTGAACTATGGCTTAAATTACAATATTTATAATTTCTGTAATCAACTAATATGGTGATTATTTTCTTCGATTATTTGGTTAATCATTAAGTCTATAAAAAGTCAAATGTGTTGAAAAATGTCAATCAGAAGTTCCTACATGTCTCCAAATCAAAAAAGACAAAGAAAAGCATCACAGCCTCTCATTTGAATGAATAAGACCATTTGTTTATTCTAAAAATTGTAAATTGTATTGATCGACTACTCAATTAATTGTTTCAGCACCAGTTTGAACAGGTTAAACATCAGGCTGTTTCTGTCCTACCCTGATAAACTAAGAAATCTGTAGATAAAAGACTAATTAAAAGATCAATAACACAGAGAGAGTTACTTTCCTGACCGAAAAATAACAATATGTTTTCAAAGAAGATGAACTCTGGCAACACAAAACCTCTATGTGTAGAATATTAAATGATGGTAATATCATTCAAATTAATCACGAAGCATTTTAGATGTTAATTCAATTAATTGTAGGAAGCCAAAGTCAGAAATTGTCTTGGCGTTATTGATTATTTCTGTGTTGATATTTTATTGACTGTTGTGCGCTGCACCCAAATACTTTTAAGAATCAACCGTTAATCATTTCAACGCTCTCCCATCTACCCCTGCCGTTATTTCTGTTCAGTTAAGCTCTGTAACATTCATAAATCAACCAGTCACAGTTGAAGACTCAGCATTTGAACACGACCGATTGGTTAGTAATGATGGAGAACAGACAGACTAAAATGTGTGATATTCACTTCATAAATTCATTGGAAATTAAAAGGTGTCTTTCCTCTCTCTCTGTCCACAGGTGAATGTTCCTCTGAGCTCCCTCGGACAGCCTGTCCTGATGGGCGTTGCTCTGAATCACACCAGCGCCGGCAGACCAAGTGCTGAGTTCTACGTCAGGTACTCGTTCCTTAGATGTTAATCCCTGAAATATACTATAACACTGTCTTCTCATCAAGCGGTTGTTCTCAATTCACGTTCACTGTGTGAAAGTATCACTAACAGTGGCTAAAACAACAAGCATATATATCACTGAATGGGTTGTAAAAGGGTCCACTGCTCACATAAATGTACTCCACAATGTCAGACACAGTCCAGCTTCGTCATGTACAATAAATACTCGCATACACATGCACACATCCGTTCTGTTGTTTTTATGTTGATTCAGTTTGTTTAGTTGTTTAAACCTGAATGTAAAAATTAGCCTGATTTTTTTAATTTTTATTATTAGGTAACAGAGTTTATCAGTATAACTATCAAATGGAGGTTCTGAGCAAATGTATTTCTATTTAGGGGATGTGAACCTCTGCCAGTCAACACAAACTCATTAGTCACATAATATAAGTAATATAAGGTCTGGTTTGAATGAATGAATGGTGAAATCTCTTAAATTCAAGAAAACCAATGGCTCACAGAGAAACCATTTCCATTATGTATCATTCAACATGTTTTTAATTTTTCTAACCAGGTGTGTGCAGTTGACGTTGTAAATCAATTTTTCAAGGGCGACCTGGCTGAGACAGCAGTATAAACAGTGGTAGATGATAGAATATAAAAAAAATAGGTCTGTTACAGAAAATCAGCATGTTATGTGATCTGAGGTAATGAGTGCTAGAATGGCTTTATAAAGATGTAATGTAGACTCTGTTATATCTGTGTGTCCTCAGCTGCTCTTTGACATCTGATGAAGTCAGGAAGCTGTACTGGAAAGGAGGAGCAGAGGCCCATGAGTCCACAGATATCGTGTTCCTCAGCAGAACAGTAAGTAGTCTATAGTCACAAGAGACTAAAATTTTAGGATGCCAAAACCAGTACCCTTAAAGTGATACAGAGTACTTCATTCGATACCTTGCTATTTTTTTGTTATTATGGACAAGCAAGGAGATCTATTTCTTTTTTCAAAAACCTGTATCATATCCTCATCCTAATTAGGTCATTCTCAGAGGAAGGACGACAGCTTAGGAGTTTTTTGTAGCCTATTTGATTGAGAGAGGAGGAGTGAAACAGTTTAATGACCACATGAGTTGTGGAAACAAATTTAAGTAAAGTTTTTATACGTTTGTTGAAAGATTAATAAACTGAATTGAAAGATCTCTGCGAGTGCTTCTTTAGTGGTGATTCGCAAACCTCTAAAAAAGATGACAGCAAGAAGAAACGAGAAACGAGTCGGCTAAACAAGTCAATAAACTACACTTAAGAGTCTAAGGAAGCCAACAGAGGAAAACAGAGGCTGCATGTCCAGCTGATCAAACAGACTACATCTGATATCAACCGCAGCTTTTGCCGGAGCCCCCGTGAGTAAAATCAGCTGATCGCTGCTGTGCCAAAAAAGCTTTGATGTGATGGAACGCAGCGATCGATCAGTGACAAATGATGTGAATAGCAAATAAAAATGTAGAGAGAGGTGTTAAATTATAAGAGAAGATGAAACCAACGGAAAGCCAAGCTTGTGCTGATAAACTTTCAACAGTGACGAACATGCCTGAGACCGCAGCCGAAGGTGAGCCGCTGGTAAAATCACGCATGGACTTAGAAGCAGAGGCAGACAAAAAGGAGAAAAAAGAGCCGGGCCTGTCACTTCTTTCTTTCGGTGTGTTACTTGCGTGTTTTGCTGCGAGCAAAACCATACAAATAGTCTTTTTTTTTTCGCCATCTGTTTACAAAAATTATGGAATGAAGTACTGGTTTGACTGAGATGTTTTGATACTACTCAATACTGGGCTGTCTCAGTCGGTATCGGTACTCGATACCCATCCCTAGTCAGTATGTATAATTGTCTGTGACTAAATCACACCAAAAGGACATTTGAAAAACATCTAAAAGTGGCAAATTTTGTGAAGTATTGTTGATTCATATCAAGCAAAATTCATATCATCGCAATAAACCCGATTCTGATTGTGATGCGGCCTTTTGTTGTACCTGAAATTTGTAGGAGGTGTTGCAGCTGGACAGAAGCAGCTCTTTGTGGTCGGAGCTGTGTCCCTCAGCTAAAGGAGCCGTACTGCTTTATCAGACAGTGAAGCCCAAGCAGATGACGTGACACACGTCAGAAAATGAGGATCCCCATGATCAAATGTTTAATACATGAAGAGAAACATTTTATTTGGGTTCAGGGATTTGTTACTCTGTGACTTTGAGCACTCCGACCAAAAAATGTGCAAAATGCTGTATTTTTTCACACTGTACTGTAAAAACATGCCAATTTTTAAAAATTACTTTCAATAAAAATCCTAAAAAGTGAGTTGGTTTTCAGCATTAATCATTAAATACTGCTACCCTTATTCTCTCTGATAAGCCAAAGCATCCAGTGCAACATATTCTATAGTTCTCTGTATCATATTACTTGCTGATGTAGTTAGCCCTTTTTTTTTTTTTTACAAGACATCAGAAGAATTATTATCCTTGTAAACACAGAGCAGCGGCAACGGTTTCTTCTTGCTGCAGGATTCTTCATCAGTAGCCACCATAACCACTGTAACCAAAGCCTCTATAGTAGTAACCCTGGTCGTGATTGGCCAGATTCCACTGAAATGTACAAAAACAACACAAAAGGACAATGTGATTTTATTTACTCGGTGAAATCAATTTAAGACGGATATTGCTGTGTTACTTTGTGTCTGACTAGCTTAGCTGCGGCTTACAATGGGTTAAAATCAATTAGAACTTCCAGCGTTTTTAAAAGCAGCTACAATACTTAATGTTTGTCAAGATCAGCTGAAAACTGCACAGTTAAAACTGACTAGCCTTAGGTGAATGAACAGTCCACGTGTCTCATCTGCCTACATTACTGACAAAATGACCTCCGCGCTGGTTAAACCTCGGTCTAAAACAGGTATAAATTAAACCACAGACAGGAACTCTGTGTGGTATTTAGTAATAGGTATTTGGTAATAGTGGTATTTAGGTGATCTCTACAAGAGAGGACAACGGCAATTCTGTTGAAGATGACGTGTTTCAATTGCAGCGAAGCTAATGACAAAGCAGCCCCAAATGATGTTACAATGAGGTTTGGTTTGTTATGCAGGACTTCACAGCTCACGCAACACTCACATATCTTGGCTGGTGCCTCAAAGACTGGATGTTGAGTCTCGTGTCATTCCACCCTACAAAGACAACAGTGAAATCAACTAACATCTTAAAATATCAAGTGTCCTGAAATACTGCACGTCATTTCTCATACTGACCGTTAAGTCCAGTCCACTGACCCCGATGTGAGGGTGGAGGGCAGTGAGGGTGGGGTCTTTTCTTGTAAAGTCTGGGTTTCTTCTTCTCCTGTTTGGGGATGGGGGGCAGCAGTCTGCGAGCCTCGTCTTTATACTCCTGCAGGAGCGTCTGTGCCTGCTCCCGAGGCAGCTCAACATACTGCAGCTCCTCCAGCAGGTCACTCTGCTGCTCTGGAAGACTGCAGCTCACTGGAGAAAAGAGGGAAAGTTGAAGTAGTGGAAGCATGACAAAAATGAAACTCATTCAAAATATGACTGTTGTCCCAGGTTAATTATAATTCTCTGCAGAGGCTCCAGTCTGTTGTGTATTTCCATACACTTCAAGCCTGGTTTAAGACCTCTAAATGGCTACTTGCGCACTCAAACTTGTGTGATTATCTGGCTAATACATGTCTGTTAAACCACTGAACTACACAGAATCACATTACAGACATACATAATAAAGTTTAAGAGTCAGTTTTAGTTTTGAGGAGTAGGTAAAATGACTCCCACACAATGATGTTTAAACTTAGTTTCCATCCCTAATCGAAATGCCATTCTGATCGAATGCCAATACCAGATTAAACCAGTTAGGAGTTGGTATCCTCCTATTAATCACTGATACAGTGTATTATATTTTCTATGTGCACAAGTCAGACCTTGGAGTTTGAGCAGGGCAGTCTCAGGGATCTGCTCCCCATCACTCGTCTGGTGTTGGGACAATCGTCTTTTCCACACATCTGCTGAGGGAAAGACTACCACCACCACTCGGCGCCCAAAGCCTGTAAACAGCTGCAGCTTGTAACGCCGTGCAGAGAAGAGGATGTTGCACTGTAAACAGAGAGGTGACAAAGAGAGAGAGTATGTTGAGAGAACTGATGACAATGTTCAAATACTGATCTACAAGACAGGACACAGCTATGAGGTTTAAGAGACTGACTGTGATTGAACAGTGATTTTGTTCCCCGGTTTAAATTAGAACTAAGCTAATGACAAAACAACAGCCCCATATTATGTTACAGTGAGGTTCATTATATGTCCAAGCATGTTTCAGTGCTTCAAAGAATACATAATAATAGTTACAATTATAGGTTAATATATACATGTCACTTAACAGGATTTTTGAGTGAAATTGATCGGTGTGTAGCAGTGAGGATTTACCTGGTCCAGGATATAGTTGCCAGGAGTCTGAGCAGCCATCTTGATCAAATCAGTTAGACACTGAGAGGCCTGCTGCAGCCTGCTGTCCCTTTGTCCACCACTCTGCACGAACACACACACACACACACACACACACACACACACACACACACACACACAGGATCAGTTGGTCAGAAATTGAACATCTTCTTTGAATGACAATAAAAAACATAAGAGTGGAGACTGGAGGTTTGACTGACAATCATACAGGCGAGCAGCTCCTCTGTGCCCAACAGCCTGTACTGTTTCTCCGGATGCTGCTTCATGTGAGTCCGGGCCCAGTGGCTCTTCCCAGAACCAGGAAGACCAACCATCAGCATCACCTGTGGGGGGGGAAGGACAGAGAGAGATCTTAGAGATTAAAATGTAACAACGTGTAATGACTGCTTTTATATACTGTATGAAAAAAACCAAAAGATTTTCCTTCTAGCAGGGAAGCACAAAAGTGCCTTGGGATAATCTGAATTCTGCATTCAGCCTTTAAATTAAACACATTTAAATACTCAGGATGCTGCTGTCTCTCACCTCACACTGCGCCCTGCAGGTAGGAAGAGCCAATGTGGTGCGCACCCTCTGCCTGGCAGAAAGAGCTGCCAGCGGTGTAAACCCTGGAGGGCCAGGGTACCAGGGAGGAGCTGTGGAGTCCAGGTGGAATCTGACTGAACAGCTCTTACAGAGGACGTGAGGGAGCAGAGCACGACCCAGCAGCACAGAGGCACCCAGGGAAAAAGCCACCCCCATAAAACGACCATTCTTGTGGAAAGAAACAACAGCACCGTCTGTGGAGAAAGACTGTCGGTGTGTACATGACACACATGTACAGTTGAGATTAAAAATTAAGAAATGTCCTCTATTTCTACCGAAATATAGATATTGACATGACAAGACAACAGCAAGGCGGTGAAGTTTCAAAGACTGTGAATAGAGGAAGAATCGTCACTCACAGCATAACAGCCAATGATATCCCCCTCTGAGAAGGGTTCTCCAAACTCTTCCTCCTTCCCACCTGACATTTTTTTACCACGCCCATCATATGCAAAAGAAAATTCATCTTCACCTGGTATGAGACAGGTAGAAAGCCAGAGGGTGAAATAAGCTAAAGATCTAATCTACAAGAATAAACTAAAGATCTAATCTAATAATGAGCCCAATCCTTACCCAGCAGTAGAGATGCGTTGGCCATTGACCAGCCTACTCTCAGGCCGTAAGGGACTTCTTGTTCCTCCAGCTGTGTAGTCAACAACTTCCTCTCCAGCCTCACCTCAAAGCCCACCCTGCCCTGCAGCACCCCATGGGTGAGCCTGCATCCTGACCACAGCAAGGGGAATCGAGCCCAGAACCGCGGCTGGCCACATGCACAATCAGGACCCACCTCAAAGTGGAGGTGACGGTCATCTGTGCAAACAACAAAGATTAAAAATGCCTTGGCTGTCATGACATCACATTTTATTTCAAGAAACAGCATCTTCTAGGACGATTTTCTTGACAAAAATAACTAATCATAGTTTAAAATACTCAAACTAAATCAGAATTTCTTCATGTTCATTAGCCACAAAGTAGGTGAGTGTCCAAAGACTTACATGGATCTAGTCTGACTTTATCTTCATCTTCCTCTGTCACCTCTCTGTCCACTGGAGGTTGTGGTGATTTGGCTCTGGTAGAGAAAAGGTAAAGACACATGCTGCTTTATAACACCTTTTTCATAAAAGGCCAGGTTTAAAAAAATCCACGTCGACATTTAGGATAGTTTCACTATCTTTCAACCCTAACCCTGTTAAAATGTCTGTGCATATTAAGACAGGCCTATCTGAGAGATATACAGTGCATAAAGTCAATAAAATCTAATAAAAAGTGTGGTTTACTACCCTCTTTTTATCAGTCAAACTAGGCAATAGGCACAACTGCCTATCATGTGAATAAATATGTTTTCTAAAGGCCTAAATAAATAATTCACAGTTTTAAGTTGCTTTTCTCTCCACTCTAAATCTATGGGTAAAGCTATATTTATTAATTATGGGCATGAAACTCACTACACCTAGGCTTAACTTAATGTATTTTAAAATATTTTATTAATATATTTTTTATAGCTCCATCCTCAGATCTATACCTATACCCACCCACGTCCATAACACAACCCCGATTAAAAAACAACAACATAAAAACATCTGAAATAACTGCCTTGTTATAAAGTACAATCCCTATATTTTATGACTGAACCTGAATCCTCTAAACGACATCATCTCGTCTTTGGATGCTTCAATTTGTCAATATGTCTATATTGTTTTGTTCATAGTGTGTATATTAGTGTTGTCTACTCTGTTGTTTGTCACAGATTTTATTTTATTATTATTATATTATTATTGTATAAGTAAGCACATCGTGAGCAATGTGCAATCCTGAGTCAAATTCCTCGTATGTGTACACATACCTGCCAATAAAACTGATTCTGATTCTTCACAAATCTATAACTACAATCTAGCTTGCACACAACCTTTTGTATCGTATCTCCTCTTTGAACTCGTAGAAAGCTCTTCCTCTGTCGGTCTCCTCTGATGGCCGAGCTCTCCTGTCCTCTCCGGGGGCCTCGGCCTCTCCCTCCTCCGCTTGCTGCACTGTTACACCCTCTGAAATAAACTCAGAGCCGTGTTGTGGTGTTGGCAGAGCAGTATCAGCATCTGTCTGTGTTGCAGAGTCTGTGTGCTCTCTGTCTAGTTGACACCGCGAAGTAACACCAGCGTCTTCTGTCGGCGGTGATGAGGACGGATAGCGGACTGTCTCCGTCTGTGCACAAAGTGTCAGTGAGCTGTCATCTAGCAGTTTTAGCTCTTCCTCACCGAGTTTTTCACTTTGTCCTGCCTCTAACGCAGACCACAGCCTGTCTACCAGCTCAGCCTTCAGTCCCCTGCAGTCCAGCCCAAGTTCTTTAAGTCTGGACCGCAGCTCGGGGACTTTTAACTTTTTGATGTCCGTTAGCTTCATTGTTACCATGCGAGTATAAATTCGCTCTCTTCTTTTGCGAGTTGCTCTCCTTTAGGAAAACCAGACCCAAATTAAACTGTAAAAAACTAGACTGCGTAAAAACAACAGCGGTGTGGACCAAAACATCGGTTCAATATGGTACCCTGGTTTGTGATTGGCGCTTTACTACTTCTTTCTCCTAATCGTTGGCAAATTAAATACTTGCAGGAGTCTTTACCGCCACCACACGTTTAGAAATGGTACTGCACCTGGTGTTCACATAACATCTATGGTGTTCGTGTAGAATCATAGACTGTATATAGAATCATGTGATCTATGGGATTAATATCCTGCCTTGATTCAAAACTGAAAATAAAGTTCTGAAAGGTTGAAACTAAGTGTTTGAAAACTCAAAATCTTACAAAAAAATCTTTGCAAGATCGAAAACTAAGATTTACAAGCTTGCAAAATGTAATGATAAAAAAAAAAATCTCTGCAAACATTATGTTGTTTTTGAATTTTCCTTCTTCAGAACAATTTTTCAGTTTCAAATTTGTCAGTGTTCTCCCAGTGTATTAGTTTGTTTCCCAGGTTTGAAACCTTGTAAGTGGTGATCTGAAAACTGGTGTGTAAATGTGTGAAAAAAGTTTTGACTAATAGATAATGAGGAATTAAGCCGCTAGGCTAATTTATGCTGTGTAAAATGCAGGCTTAACTTACAGTAAACTATCAATGGAGACTATCAACCAGACAAATCTCGACAGTTATTAAGCCCAAATGTATGCTTTTGTTAAATGTGATTATTCTATTAAACCACGTTTTATGTGTGATGGTGGAGTCATTTTAAAGTTGACTTCACTGTAGTTAACCAGCACCGAAGACAAGGCAGCATGCTGTGGTCATCACTCACAGGAGGACGAAAAGAAGAAGAAATATATATTTGTGGACAGCTTCATCCTGGAGTTCATTGTTATTGTCTACAATGAATGAACAATGTCCATTAACAGATGGGTTGCCATTCATCATTTCACCCTCAAAGACATCTTTGGATGTAAAGGCAACTACTTTAGCATTTATTGAAAACTAAACTGACTCACAATAATCTGATTCAGCTATCAAATGTTTTTAGGTGCAGCAAATCCAAACTAAAGAACGATGGCACTGGGGCTGAAAATGTGCAATGAATAAAACTATTTACATTTCAACAAATACAAACGTTTGATTCTGTTCTCTCCTTTTGGTTTGCAATATGCAAGTATTAAACTTAAAAGGCTGGGTACCTACAAGCCTAGGTGTCATTTACACTTGGGATGCTGGGGACATGTCCCCACCACATTTTGAAATGGCTGATTTTGTCCCCATCACCTTTTGAAAGCATTTGTTAAAAACTTTCTGAAAATTAGCACCAAGAAATGTTAACTTACAAATTAAAATGCTTTGAGAAAGGTTTATTTGCACAATAAGAAAACATGCAATGCAATATAGTTTTCCCTCATAAAAAAAAACAGACATGTCCACCATAAACTGGAGCAGAAAATGTTTCCAGAATGCAGGAAATTACGAGTTTAACGCTTAAAATCTTCTGGGGGAGTACCCAGACCTCCAGCATTGTTCTCGTACATCGTCACATCTTATAACCCAAATGTATCATCATGCCCCTAATCTGAGACCTTATATTCACTTTACAACACAAAGTGACTCCCTTGCTTACTAGTTACAGTGCTAGTAAACAGAGCTGAACGGTTTACAAGAAAGAATGACCTCCTTTAGCATCTATTAATTCATTAAGGTGTTTTTCTCAGTTGTGATGTGCTATCAAAATAATATACTAATAGACTGAATTCAATAAAAAAAATGATTTGGTCACCCCCTTCAGAAGGCCAGCCACATTTTTATTACACATTTCTTCTTCCTTATTGCATGATTTAAAATAATACATTGAGAAACAAATCTATTATCATCCTGCACTGCAACAGCTCTTTAGGCAGGCTGGAGTAGAAAACAAACTTCCCAGCAAGCAATTTCACAGTTAAAAGACGTCTAAACAGAGCCCAGACGTCTAGGCTAAAACAGGGCTGAATTTGGGCTGTCAGTGAAAGTTTGGTAGACGTCTAACCATTGCCCAAAAATAGTCTAGTCATCAATTAGACCACTACTGAACGACTACATATAGACGTCTAATAGACATTGAAAATGGGTCTAGGCTAAAACAAGGTTGAATTTGGGCTGTCAGTGAAAAGTTAATAGACGTCTAACCATAGCCCAAGAATAGACCAAATATACAGCTTTTGAATGACTACATAGCTACCTCTAATAGACAACAGAATAGTGGCTAAAGGATTTTTTTTTAAAACATAAACATAACAGGTTCTCATAAATGGTAATCCGTCCAAACAAATTAAATATAAAGATTTTATTAAGAAAATGGATTACAACATAGACAACTTAAGATAATACAACATGATGAAAATATAAAGGAATTATTGATACAATATTATTATAAATACAAAATATTTTAACAACATGCGGTAATAAAAACAAATAATGAGAAAATAAATTGGTTGCTACATCCAAATCTAGATCTTCATCTAAGCTGCTACTTGATGCAGTAAGAGCATCAGATGGGTCTCTCGGTTGGCGCCAGTCTCTCAGGTAAATGGGATCCATAACTGTTGAATATGTAAGAATATGAATATAAGTAAACATAACAATTAAGTAAATATAAGTAAACATACAACACATTGACAATGTTCACTGTTTTCCCATAAGACATGACTACTATGAACAAATGACTTTAAATGAAAACATATAGTATATTTCTAATGAAGGTAAAAAAGGTAAAATTTTATTTATAACGTTTTTTTCTTTTTAATTTATATATATATTGTCTGTATAGACAATATATAACTATATTTTCACATTCTAGTATACATCACATTTCTTTTCCCTTTATTTGTTCAGCTGTGTTCTTGTTCTTAGCTGAAACAGTTAAATTCCTTGTATGTGTACACACACTTTGGCTAAATAAAGCTGATTCTGATATTATTTATATGCTAGAAGCATTTTACTGAGTACTGAAACATATGCTTTTGAGTGTTATTATAATTATGAGCATTGAGGTTATGGTCAATGTGGTCAGATAAAGATAATCTGTTTTTCAGCTTCTCTTAGTTGCACAATAAGTCACAGCTTCACCGATGGACTTTATCAGTAGGATGGGGGGTAGTGTGTGGATGCCAAAGTCTGTCCCCCCAGCTCCACCAAACACAGGCATCCAGTTTGGAGCCGTAAGCAGGTATTAAAAAGGCACTTAAAATGCATGGACCTAAGTTCTCTCTAGTGCCAGCTGTCAGTCCTGGTCCTCACTGCTGCTTTTCTTTCACTGCAGAAAATTGGATGCATGCTTCAGAATTTCAGACTCTGTGTGTTTGCAATGAAGTCAGTGTGACTCTCTGGGATGTAGAGAGGCGGGAAAACATTGTTCTTGTATCAGCTGTGAAGTAATATATGTAATGAGGATTATTAAAAAATAGCATGATTTAGACTAGGCCTACAAGAATGAAAAAAGCTGATTTCTTGCTTCTTTTTATGTGTTTATTCAATGAAAAAAGTTTCAAGTGTTAAGTTTCGACTGGACACAATTCAAATAAAACGTACAAAAGAAGCCACCAGTCCATCACAGTGCTGAGATGCCTGCTGATCAGAGTCATTGATCAAACCCTTCATCATTGAGGTCATCCAGATAATCACTCTCTTCTGCATGCACTGATGGCAAATGACGTCACTGCTGGAGGAATTTGCAGGACCAAAGATCGTTTGTCTGAAAGATGTATCACTCCTCTCAATAATTACGCGACCACTCAGTCTACAAATAACTAGGACTGGATCTACCTTCTAATTGTAATGTCCTAAACACCAAACATGTTCTCCAACGTAATTTTCCACATGTTCAATAAATGTTTTATTTAATTAATTTGAATCACAAATTAATTTGCACTAAATTTTTCTATTAAGATAATTATTTTGTAGAGGAAAAAGGACTGAAAAAAGATTTTACTTTATGCATATCATATGTGTTGAAAAAAGTTTTTATCATAATTGTTTTGAATGTTCTACCTTAGTTTTGTTAAGTGATCCACCGTTTGGCAAAAGTTTGTCATGTTCTTCTGACCATAAAGAATAGTTTAAAACCACATCTGGTTTCTTCAACTTTCACTCAGGAGCACACATTTGTCTTTAAACTTGAAAGAAATAACGATTGTTTATCCTGATAATTAGGCCGATCGGATTAGCCTATATTAAATTTTTTATTGTGATAACATTTTTGGCCATAGCACCCAGCCCTAAGAGAAAGATAACAGAAAATAAACATAACAAATAACATCACTAATTAAATTAGCTCAATACAAAGTAAAAGAAGAACCTCAGCATAAATATTCTAAGATATAAATCTATAGAATATCCTCATAAAAAAAAGTTTTGATGATGTGCCACCTAATCCATTCATTATACACCTGCCCACACCTGTCTACAAGGAATCAGCTTTTTAGAAAGTAATCATGCTGTTTAACTACTACGAATTCTACAACTTCTTATTATTTTGACAATGATGCTGATTCATATGGAAAGCCGTTTTATCATTTAAGCAACTTACTAGTTGCTATTTAAAAGCTACAAGTACTTATTTATTAGTTACTAGTAACTATTCCACCAGGTGCACATTTTAGACAGAGAAGATGGATGGTTTGAAAGAGGTGTCAAGGAAGCATCTACACCAGGGTTGAGAAGCCGTCATTGAACAGGGGAGGGGGTCTACGCCACCACTTATCCCCCACTTACAATGCTGTCCTTTCATCACTTCCCAGGAAACTCAACAAACGTAACCTATTGGCCTCAGGTGAAGATACCAACGATGGTCGTTCAGTCTTGGCCACAGGTAGTCTTAACGACTGTAACGACTCTCGTCACAGCAACAAGGAACACTAACGAACCAGCGGTATCGATGACCCGGGCCAACGACCCCACTGAGGTTAAATAGCTGAGTTTCCCTGCCAGTCAGTCAGAACTGAAGAAGTCCTTTGGATAAGGGACGAAACGTCTTCCAGTATCTTCAACCAAGTCCAGTTGCCCTTGATTTTAACCTTCGTTGGATAACTATGACCTGGATGACTGAGAATCTTCATAGACATCAGCTAACTATTCCAGTTTTACTATAGTAACAATTGATTGTACTTCATTTTAGTTACTAACTATTCCATTAGTTAACCTACTAGTACTAATTGCACGTTTTTGCCATTGATATCTAGGGGCTCTGCAGTCTGTTACTAGTGATTATTCCATTCTTACTAGTAAGAATTAAAATGTTACTAGTATCTTTTGGAATACCATGACGACTGTCCTTACCACAGCCAGGAGCACTAACGAACCAGCGGTATTGACAATCTAACGATCCCACAGAGGTTAAATAGCTGAGTTTCCCTACCAGTCAGTCAGACCTGAAGGTATGAGGGACAAAACGTCTTCTAGTATCTTCAACCATGTCCAGTTGCCCTTGACCTCAACCTTCGTTGGATAACTATGACCTGGATGACTGAGACATATTATATTGGTAAGAATTAAAAAGTTACTAGTATCTTTTGGAATACTTACTAGTGACTAATGAATAGGTATGTATGTATATAATAGCCTACATACTAGTAAAATGGAAATACTTACTAGAAACTTTTCAAATAGTTACTGGTAGGCTAACTAATGAATAGGTGACATTTGAACTGCAGAGCCCCATAGATTTCAATGGGAAAAATTTACAATTAGTTACCAGTAACTAATATAAAATATTTACTTTTTTTTTTACTAATAACTGAAATTAAGTATTAGTATCTATCAATTGTTAGTAGTAAAATGGGAATTGTTACTAGTTAAGCACTAGTAGCTTTTAAATAGCGACCAGTAAATATTAAGAAATAAATGTTCACACGCCTGCCATGGATACATAGGGAAGCCCTAAGCACCCATCGATTCAAACATTTTTTTTCTGCGTTTTCCCGTGATAACGAGATAATTATCTTGTAATCTCGAGATAATGACTGTTGTTTTCTCGTGATTACGGGATAATTTTCTCGTGATCTCGAGATAACAAAACAATAGTTTAACACAGTGGTTTAATGGTAGTTTCACTATCAGTATTATTGGTTGGTTCAGTTGGTAGAGCACAGGAGGAATTGTGGTTTCAATCCTCACTGACAACCAGCTTTATTTTCTTTTTTTCCTCTTTTTCTTATGAAGAGACTGGCGATTGTTTCATATCCATCAACCTATGGAATTCCTGTGCTTCTCATTCAGGGGAATCCATTTAATATTACACATTTCCTGACGGCTATTTTGGAACCTGAAATGGCCGTCGGGAAATTTGTGATTGGATTCCCCTGAATCTCTTCATAGCAACTTTGCTGAAGAGGATAATATAAAACACACAAAAGAAGAAATAAAAGTTGTTGATAGCAGAAGTCAAACTTGCAATCCCTGGATTACAAGTCCTGTGCTCTAAGATGACCAGTCACACTGTAAAGTCTTTTGAAATTATCCTAATGAAACAAACCAGCCAACCCCTTTGTTCAGCAATGGTTTGTTTTCTCGATATCCCGAGAAAATCATCCCGTTCTTACGGGAAAAGAACATTCGTTGTCTCGAGATCACGAGAAAATTATCCCGTTATCACGGGAAAACAACATTCGTTGTCTCGAGATCACGAGAAAATTATCCCGTTATCAGGGAAAACGGAGCAAAATAAATATTTGAATTGATGGCAGCTTAGGGATTCCGTATAATTCGTCTTCTGATGTTGTCTTTTTATCTGGTTCCTGGATCTTGCGGCGGAGTGAGACCTCTGTGCCTCATCCTCTCTTGTGTAACTGCTGGAAACCCGGTCCCCACCCTGGTTTCTTTAAATACCCACCACCACCAAGGCGAACCGTTACACGGGAAAGAAACGGGGATGTGTTGACGTTAGTCGATATCTTCAACAACGTGAATACCTTCACATTTTAGTTTTTAGACTTCTAACATGGAGCTGGACCGGCGGTTGTTGCTAGCCCACTGCACGGCTCACGCCCTGTCGATGGTGGCGGGCTTGCTGGTGGTCGTCCCCATGGCTCTCAATGGCTCCGCGTTCAAAGGCCGATGCGCACTCTTCTCCGCCGGCTACTGGAGGACAGAGGACCGGGCCGAGCTGACGGGGCAGCCTGAAGACGTGTCTCACCTGGTGGTACAGCAGTGGGGCCCACCGGCGGCCTGCCAGTTCGTCACATTTGTCGGTATTTTTACGGTGCTGTACGGGGCCGCGCAGAGCTGGAGATGCCTCTTCTATCTGCACGGACGCCATGACGAGTGAGTCTGACACACCCTCACATTACTGACCCAGTTCTTCACAGGCCACTTTCCTCTACTGGTTCAACTGTAAGACTTGTAGGAATACACTGAGTAACAAAGTACATCTACTCAGGTACAATTTAAAAGATACTTTACTGTACTTTATACTGCACTAGTTACTAGTTACTTTGCAGATTTTGATTATGAATGCAGGACTTTCACATGCGATAGAGTCAGAGTATTTTTTTTTTACACTCTAGTATTGCTATCTTTACTTTAGTAAATTATTGGAGTACTTCTTCCACCATTGATAATAAAGTAACATAATATGAGTAATACCAGACCAGTTGCTGCAGTAGTAGTAGTGTAATGGTAGGTGTAGAGCTATTTAAAGTACTGTTTTAAATATATTTAAGAGACTGGAAATAACTTCGGTCCAGCATGTGTTTTGGTCCTAATGAACGTGCATCTATTCTGTACATGCAGAATATATTTTGTCTATAGATTTGCCTAAAGTAGTCTTAAAACAGTGTGCAGACATGGAAACGTCCTAAAATTTCTAAAGAGCTGAAAATATGACTTATAGCTTTTTCTAAATCACAGCTTTACTGGATATCAGGGCAAAGATGAATCGTTTTGTCTATGTAATTAAAATAAAATGTGATAAAGTGCTTATTAATATAGCCCAAGCTGCTGTCTTCAGATGCATTGTTTTATCTGACCCTTCAGTTTAACTACCATACAAGACAGAGAAGCAGCAGATCCTCACATTTGTGAAGCAGGAAATGGAGAATTTATGCCATTTTCTCTGAAAAATGTCATAAATTATTATTTGATTATCAAAATAGTAGCCAGTTAATTTTATGGCTAATCATTTCAGCTCTAGTGAGAGCATCTGCCCAACATTATAGCTTTTAGTCAATGTTTTTATCTAAAGTACCATGTGTCTGATGGCTGTAATGTGTGTTTCTACTCAGCACCCTGTTTTCCTCCTTCCTGACGGTGCTGCTGAGTGTGTGTGTGCTCTTCCTGTCTGGAGGGGCCAGTGTTATCTTGTCTCTGGGTTTGGTCTCCTGGTGTGACACCGTGACTGATGACAACACGCGGCCATACAGGTACATTATCTGATGATAAACTGATTATATTGGCCTTGTGGTTAATGTTTAGTTTCGGAGTTCCATGGTGATTCGTTACTCAAGAGACCACCTGTCTGTCACTACAACAACAAAAACAGTTTGATTTTCAAATATCTACTAACTGATGGTTGTGATGGTTATTTTAGCTTAGCCATTACTTATATTGGTAAAGGTAAAGAGATTTTTTTCCCTTTGCAGTATCAACATACTGTATGGCTGTAGGACATAGGACAGAGAATCCGACTCTTTTCTAGGCTACGTAATTATGTGACGGCGGTTGTTACTGACGTGGCCTGCCGTGATGAAACTACAATGAAACTACAATGTTCTGAAGATGGACTACAAAAAGCGCATCTTTGGCTCTGCGCCCTGTGTTGTTGTAATGCAGGCCATCTAAAGGTGGACAACACGGTGGAATATATTACTTAACCAAGATAGCAAAAAGGCAGATAAGGTACCAGTCACTAATGGACAGGGTTGTCACCCTCCTGCCCACCCATTGGCTATTTATCAACATGAATCCCAATTGTTTGTAAATACAGTGTTTCCCACAGAATGACAGTGTAACTGTGGTGAGAGAGAGAGAGAGAGAGAGAGAGAGAGGAGAGAGAGAGCGATGGGGTGAGAGGAGATGCTGAGAGACTATATGCGCTGCGCGGAGCTCTGTGATCAAATATGATTTGACCCATTTTAAATAACAAAATCAATCAAAAATCAGCGTTGAAATTAGATTACAAAAAAGCCAAAATAAAACAAACCAAAAGAAAGAAGGTAATTGTGGGTTTTATTAAAGTATCATTATGAGTGTCTGTATTGCAAGGATCTTGCTAAATGTGGTCAATGGATTTTATCGTTTGAGATTGAGAACGTGCGTCGCTTTAAATGTTGCCGCCGCAAAGAATTGTGGGACGGCATTCTCTCCTTTCCTTTTGTAAAGGACGGTCCGGTGTATCCTATGCTAAAGGAGATATGAAAGGAAGCATTGAGGCACCTTTCCTTAGCTTTTAGAGAATTCGACCAGCTCTTATCATGGCTGCCACTGGAATACTTACGGTTCACTTCACTCAGTTAGGAACCTTCCTAAGCAAAAAAGACTTTTTGGACGCAGCCGTATATTGGTAAAGGTAAAGAGTTTTTTTTCCTTTGCAGTATCAATTTACTGTATGTCTTGTTTCCTCCGGTGCTGTTACCATGTTGCTGTAATTGTGATGTTTGCTACGGCTGTTTCACAAACAGTCCTCATCCACCTTTTAATTATTAAATGAATCCTCACATTAAATTATTGCAATAAACTCTGCAAAAATCGAATATAGTTCCCAATACCATTAACATATTTTCAAGTAATTATTATCTGATACCAGTAAGTAAACAGATACTGAATCCTCTGTCATGTTTATATGTAATTTTAAACTGTATTATTTATTTATATTATTAGACAGGAATGTCTGTTTTGGAGCAATCCAGCAAATTAAATACCTGATATTATCCACACTGGCGATAGCATGGCAAAGCTTTTAATCCAGTGTTGATGTTGCACTGATAAAATGTCACAGCAGACAGGTGGACATCCTCCATCTGCAACAGTGACCAACCTAAATGTGAGTGTGGTCGGATCCTTTCTCAGCCCGCCATGTTTGTTTGTGTTCAGCTGTGCAGAGTCCCAGTCCGTTCCCCTCTACCTGGATGTGGACACCTCCTCTTTCTACACAGAGCTCAGTCTGGCACAGGTGGGAGCGCTCAGACAGTAAACACACACATTGTGTATGATAAGTCACACCCACTTCCAACCTAGCCTGTTACAGCAGCCTTGCCTGGACAGTGCATTCTCTCACAAGGGTTGTCTTTTATATGTAGTTATAAAATGCTAGTTATCTATTACACTGATTGCATATTTCCTTACCGATTACTTTTTATTTCTTTTTTTTTTTTTAAGGTCTGACCCGCTGATTCCAATTTTGTTTCTTTCTATAAACTATATTTGACAGTGTACACAAACATTTTTGGAACTTTTCTTTACTTTTGCACTTTCTCCTAAACTGCAGCAACTTACAGGACCTTCTCTCACTCTAACACATCTCAAATTAAAAAGTGCTTCAGGTTAGGCTGCTGGACAGAGCTTTTTGTACAAATAAAATCTAACTGAAAATAAACTGCAGTATTAAGTAGGCTATAATTACAGGGGGCTATTTATATATTTTATTTGAAAATAGTCGGTGACTGTGCTGCTGTGTGACACCGTGCAGCGCAGCATGTGTAATGTTAAATGTGACCGACAGAAAATGTAATATTTGTGCTGCTTGGGTCCGGTCACCAGTCATGGCCGATTAAGCTGAAAACCTACCAATTCCGGTCCCCAGCCGAATCAGTCGGTGCATCTATAGTATCTACTACTGCACTATAAAATAATTATTATTCTTTCAGATTTCAGCAGGTTAGTAGAAGCTCTGCCTTTACTGTGTGTAGGTGTAAGAGATTAGTTAGTGTCATGAATCTGGGTATTTTATCCAAAATGAAACTGGCTACAACTAATCCCTTATAATAATGGCTGCACAATAGAAATATACATTTTCTTTTCTTGACTTGGCATTAAGTTCCTAAATGGTGGTGATGATTTATTTAGTCACACAGTATTTGTCCCTAACACACCCAATACTGTACGACCGATCTAAACAACAGAGGCTAATGCTAATCAATGTTGTTGTGTTTTTGTATTCTACTCCCTGCATACACATGTCTGATAATCAGACTGCATTCCTGTTTAGTTTCACGGCATTATTCAGTCTGACAGTATGTTCATGTAAGCCTATTTCAATGTGGTAGGATGGTGATTTTGTTTTATTTTACCATAGCTAATCATCAGCAGTGAGCAATGTTTCCTTTCTGACCTCATTTCAGTCATTCATGTGAAAGCTTTCATGTGAAAAGCTGCTGCAGTGGTTGCAAGGAACATTTGTCATGGTGATCAAATAAATATGCCAATGGAAGAATTATTGTCTCTGTAATCTGAGTGACGACACCCCTATTCTCAATCCCTCCTAACACCAGACCTATTTAAATCCCTTAAAAAAACTACAGTTCTTGGCAGCCTACAGACACACACACACACACACACACACACACACACACACACACACACCATCATCTATTGCCTTAGTGTGCACAGTTTATTCAGATGTTCTTGTTCTTATGTTCTTATTGTGTAAGCGTGACTTTAAGCTTAATCAATCACTCCGTGTGTCCTCAGGCGTCTCTGTGGTGTGTGACTGCTCTGTGGTTGACTCAGTCCATCCTGGCTTTCCTGCGGCTCTACCACTCTCACAGCCAGCACATCAGCGGGCCATGTCGTCCCCGAGAGAAGGAGCTGCTGCTGGGACACAGTCCATCTGACAGCGGCTCCCCCTCACCTACTCCAGCAACAACCAACCTTTTAGTGTAACTGAGTGTGTATGAGGTAGTGATATAACTCCACCATCTAAATTTAGTTTTAAACCCAATTTTTTTTACCACTCTACAGTTCTTACTACTGCATGTAGACTGAACTTCCAAGTAGGGCTGAATGATTTTGGGAAATAATCTTAATTGCAATGTTGTTGTTTTTTTAAACTAATATTGCAATTGCGATTTAATATGCAATTATCTTTTAAGCTCTTTATCTTCTATATTATTCAAAACAGACAATAAATCATTGTATGTTATGACCAACACAACATTGGATAGATTAAACATACACTGTTCTTTCCTGTAGGCCACGCCTATATGTTATGATAAAATTAGGTGATGCATGAATTGTGTGAATTAATATTCTAAGCAATGGTATCAAATTATAATGATTTTACAGAAAGGTAATTTGAGTCAAGTCATAACATAATATTATCAGGTAGGCCTACCTACAGATGACAAGAAAAACTAAATTAACCTTAGTGTGTTATACAGTAAGTGCTCAATACAAAACCCACAGTTCAACCACCAGTTAATTCGTCCTTATCTCGGTTCAAATCTCCACAAGAGTCCATCTCTCAACAAAAACCTCCTTTTCTGGATCCCAGCAAGCAAGCAAGCAAACAAACAAAAAAATACTCAGACTGAGGTTTAATACAAAAGTTGTCCAACGAACATAAAACCAGGTGACGACTCTCATGTCTAATAGACAAACTTAGTGATTGTCCGATGCTGCTGATGAGCAGCGCAGTTGCGCACCAGGCTGTAACTCAGGAGAGACTGGGCCTCATTCGGACTGGTGAGTTTGGTTTGAAACGCCATCATTCCTTGAGCTGACTGGTGGCTGGCTGTGTGTGTGTGTGTGTGTGACACATTGCGTTTGTAATACGCTAACCATACTACACGTGTCTTTCTGTTGTGCATTTTCCCTGTCCACCAAAGTGGCGGATGGCCCGACGATTTCACCCACCACACCACTGCCAACAATTTACCCGCATTTGGCAGGTGCAAATTAAATTCCTTGTTTGACACTAAAGTTTCTGCGGTTCTGCCAAGCCTGATGCCATTGTACAGGTCAAGGTCCAGCTTAACTTGCGAAGTTGATGCTTCCTCTGCAGACTGCTTTACTCTCGAGTGTCACGTGACCAGAGTGTAATTGCAGCCTTTGCAATTAGAAAATCTTGTTTTATCATATCGGGATATTATCACAAATGCAATTAATCGTTCAGCCCTACTTCCATGTATGGTTTAGAAGATAACATTAAATGGATGTTTTTATTTTATATAATTGATATAATAGACCCTGACCGATAAGTTGTGTATGTCAGCTGATAAGTAACAAGAAACTTGAGTATAGAAATGCCAAAGATGTGTCAGGTAATTTAGAAAGGGTTAAATATAGTCTGTCCTTTAAGAGAGCACTTACTTTTACACTGTAAAATCTTTTTCAATGTTGTCTCTTCATAGTAAAAAATGATCTTCCAATACTTCGTTAAAAGATTTTTTAAATCTCAAATATTGAAATTGGTACTGGCCTCCAAAATCCAGCATTAGTCAGACTATATTATAATGACATGATGTTTGAGCCAGGCCAACATCACTTAGATGAAACTGTCATCCCAGTTTGCCCTGCCTCGTGCAAGCACCCATGACCTCACAGTGACACCACAACTTAGCCCCAGTTTGTGCCTCTTAAGTATTTATTACATTTGATAGTAAGGATCTATTTTTCTGAATGATAAAAAAAAAAATAAAAAAAAATAAAAAAATCCTCAAAGATTCCTGAAGATATATTCAGTCGCTGCATGATCAAAAAGATTTAGTTGTGACTTTATTCTGAGTTGGAGATATTCTGACAGCGACGATAAAAGAACTACAAGTGTCAACAAACTGTTGGCAAAATAGCTGCAAAGCTTCGATTACGGCATAAATGATTATATTAATTATTATATTAATTATTATAACACCAATACAATAGATTCAGCTAATTTAAAAGGATCTATACACCGTGTGTTTGTATCAAGCTCCAAATACATAACACAACAAAATAAGCCAAATTAAGCTATTTTGTCTTGAAATAATCAATGTATAATAATAAGTAACACTGCAAAATCAGAATAATGGGAGGTTTTGCTGTTCTCTACATATTGAATATTGTTTCATATGTATGGTTTGAAGAGTCTTAAAGGATTGTGGAAGTGTTGTTAAACAGGGAATTTATTTTTTCGGGAAAAACTGAGGCTTCGCTCTTGTGACTCCATTGTAACAATGTGCACTCACTGGGACTAAGCTCAGCACTGTGTTGGGACAAAAAGGGATTTTACAGAAGACAAAAGGAAACACTCATCAGAATAGCTGAAGCAGATGTATTCAGTGATCTAATAGCCACAGTGTTATCAGATGCTACTGCTTATCCCTGTCATTTGACCTCAAGCAACCAGATGGTGTTTTTCCTGCAGTCTGTTTAGAATATATTTAATATGCATGGTTGTTTACATTTCATCTGGAGTCTGACATTTTGCACAGTTGTGTCCTCATCAGGGAGAATATAGTTTTGTCGACTGTGAATATTCAGATGTAGCACAGAGGCGCTTTTATTGTGAAGCATGTGGTGAAGTGAAACTGAGCCACCGTGTACGAGAAACAGGCTCACTATGTGAGCATGACCTGAACGTTTCATTGTGTAACGGAAAAATCACTGCTGGCCTTCTCTGCTCTTGTGACGATTGTTATTATGATGCTGTTTGTCTGGACACTGCCACTCTCAGGGCGTTAATGAAGCAGTCAAATCTCCTCTACTTCTCTCCTTAGAGTATAATTTGGAGGTAAACCATCAAGGATCTGTGATGGTTTTTTAGATTTATGTGGAGCCCAAAAGGGTCAGTGAAGAGGAAAGAAGTTACTAACTTTGCTGAGTTTTTAAAAAAACAAAAAAGTGATTCAAAGTTGTTTCTAAACTTCTTTCCTGTTATCATTGACCCGAGTGGTTGTAATGAAACACAGACAGCGGAGCAAGAAATCTGAAGTAAAGAGAGATGAGCCAATAATGTCACCTGAAATTAATTGTAATATATAAAATGTATTTTGTATTATAACTGCCAGTGGTCTTCACCTCTTATCTCTTATACCTGTTTGTGCTTATTCACATTCATGTTTATTGCATTTGTGTTGTTGAATAAAAAGCTTCTCGTTATGAAAGAATGTTTCAGTTTAATACTTAAAACGTGCATCCTTTTAGAAAATTAACATGTCTGAATCATAAAAAAAGACTAAGGTAATAAAAACGGTTCATTATGTAAGGTCTTTATACACCACTGAAAACATAGTTAGGGATATTATATTGCACTTCTGTCAGTAGATCCTCCTAAATCAGAATCAGTTTTATTGCCAGGTATGTGTACACATACAAGGAATTTGCTCACGATGTGCTTACTTATACAATAATACCATAACACAATAATAAAATAATAATAAAATAAAATCAGACACAAACTACAGAATAGACAACACTAATATACACACGATGAACAAAACAATATAGACATATTGACAAATAGTGCAGTGATCAGAGTGCAAGAGAACTATTCTCATTATGTACATATTGAAGGTGGATATGACATACAGGTACACATACACATACATGCATACATGTACACATGTACACAGTGTGATGGAGCATAGTGCAAAGGATGCTGGAAAAAATAAAGACCTATGATCGTATGACCTGAGGTAGGTGTATTGGTATGCAGAATATACAATATGACATAGTATGAACAGCACTGAAATAGAAAATGGTGAATAATAATAATAAGTGGAAACCAGTAAACAGGTGGCTGATTAGAGACAGACTTACTGGGTTATTGCACAGGGATTGTTCCTGACACCGTGAGTCAGAAATCAGCTGTTCATCAGAGTGATGGCTTGTGGGAAGAAACTGCTTCTGTGTCTGTTGGTTTTGGTGTACAGTGCTCTGTAGTGCCTACCAGAGGGGAAGCGCTTGAACAGGTTGTGTCCGGGGTGAGATGGATCTGCAGTGATGTTTCCTGCCTGTTTCCTGACTCTGCAAATGTATAAGTCCTGAATGGAGGGCAGGTTGGCACTGATTATTTTTTCTGCAGTCCTGACTGTACGTTGTAGTCTGTCCTTGTCCTTTTTGGTGGCAGATCCAAACCAGGCAGTGATGGAGGTGCAGATGAATGATGGCTGTGTAAAAGTGGATCAGCAGCTCCTTAGGCAGGTTGAGCTTCCTGAGCTGACGCAGGAAGTACATCCTCTGCTGGGCCTTCTTGATTATGGTGTCAGTGTTGGGCTCCCACTTCAGGTCCTGGGATATATTGGAACCCAGAAACCTGAAGGATACCACAGTAGACACAGGGCTGTTGAGTATGGTGAAGGGGGGCAGAGTGGGGGGGGGGGCTCCTTCTGAAGTCCATAGTCATTTCTACAGTTTTGAGCGTGTTAAGCTCCAGGTTGTTCTGGCCGCACCAGAGAGCCAGCTGATCAACCTCCCGTCTGTAGGCCGACTCATCACCGTCCTGGATGAGGCCGTTGACCATTGTGTCGTCAGCGAACTTCAGGAGTTTGACAGATGGGCCTCTTGAGGTGCAGTCGTTGGTGTAGAGGGAAGAGCAGTGGGGAGAGCACACTGCCCTCGGGGGCGTCGGTGCTGATAGTCCGGTGCTGGATGTGATGTTTCCCAGCCTCACCTGCTGACTCCTGTCAGTCAGGAAGTCTGTGATCCACTGACAGGTGGAGGCTGGCACAGTGAGCTGTGTGAGTTTGGTACTGAGGATGTCCGGGATGATGGTGTTGAACGCCGAGCTGAAGTCCACAAACAGGATCCTTGCATATGTCCCTGGAGAGTTGAGGTGTTGCAGGATGTGATGCAGACCCAAGGTGACAGCATCATCCACTGACTTGTTAGCCCTGTAGGCAAACTGCAGGGTGTCCAGCAGGGGGCCAGTAATGTCCTTCAGGTCCTTCAGTCTTTCAAAGGACTTCATGACTACAGATGTCAGGGCGATGGGCCTGTAGTCATTTAGTCCAGAGATGGAGGATTTTTTTGGGACCGGGATGACTGTGGAGCGTTTGAAGCAGGAGGGAACTTCACACAGCTCCAGTGATTTGTTGAAGATCTGAGTGAAGATGGGGGCCAGCTGGTCTGGTCTTTCTTTAAAGAAACCTGGTTTAGATCCCTCCCTCCCACATAATTTTAGACCAATTTCAAAACCGCCTTTTATTGGTCTGGCTCATCCTAGCCCAGTCTCGAGAGTTGGCGGTTTGAAATTGAGATGTCGTTCTGGCTCATCTGCTGCGTTTAGGGCTGAGGCTCAACGCAAAGAAGAGTGTGCTGGCGCCCACCCAACGGACTACGTTCCTAGGGGTAGTATGGGATTCGACAACGATGCAGGCACAATTGTCTCCGGCACATGTCGACATCATATTGGCTGCCGTGAAAGGGGTGAAGTTAGGCCACGCCATCACTATAAAACACTTTCAACGAGTGTTGGGTCTCCTGGCGGCTGTGTCCAGCATAATACCATCTGGATTGCTGCACATGAGACCCCTGCAGTGTTGGCTAAGGACCAAGGGTTTTTCCCCGAGGGGAAATCCTTTCCGTCTGATTTGGGTTACGCGCAAGTGTCTTCGTTCCCTATCAGTTTGGAAGGAAACTTGGTTCCTGTCCCAGGGGCCCGTGCTGGGAGGGTCTTGTCGCCGGCTGGTCATTTTGACAGACGCCTCCCTCACGGGCTAGGGCGCGGTCATGGGCGGCCGCTTTGCAAGGGATCCTGGCAGGTGCATCAGTCCGAGTGGCATATCAACTGTCTCAAGATGTTGGCGGTGTTCCAGGCTCTAAGGAGTTTCCTGCCCGATCTCCAAGGCCATCATGTCCTGGTTCGTTCCGACAACACAGCGGTGGTGGCCTATCTGAATCACCAGGGCGGTCTGAGCTCGCGCCCTCTGTACAGACTGGCGCGTCAGATCGTCCTGTGGTCCCAGCAGTTACTATCGCTCAGGGCGATGTATCTCCCGGGGATGCAGAATCAGGGAGCAGACCTGCTGTCGAGGCAGGGGGCTGAGGCCCGGGGAATGGAGACTTCACCCCGAAGTAGTGGAGCTCTTGAGAGTTCGGCCCCATAGACGTGGATCTGTTTGCGTCTCAAGAGACTACGCACTGCCCGCTATGGTTTTCTCTCGTTCCTCCAGCCCCGTTGGGTCTGGACGCCATGGTACATTCGTGGCCGAGGCTACGTCTGTACAATACAAAATGTCGGCCTACTGCTCGTAGCCCTGTTCTGGCCAACCCGGGTGTGGTTCTCGGACATCATGTTGCTCCTGGACGGCCCGCCATGGCAGGTCCCTCTGAGGGAGAGACCTGCTGTCCCAGGCGCAGGGCCGGGTTCTTCACGCTTGCCCCGCCGTATGGCAACTGTGGGTCTGGCCCCTGAGGGGGCACAGTACCTAGAGGCGGGTCTAACAGCCGGAGCAGTCGAGACCCTCCTCAGCTCCAGGGCCCCGTCCACACGGATCCTCCGTGGTGCCCGGAGGATGAGACCTGTGACTCGGTCCAAGGTTCCCACTCGGGATCTGGCGGTGGTTCTTGGGGCGTTGGCTGAGGCTCCCTTCGAACCCCTGGAGTCAGCTGAGGCTAAGCACTTGACCCTCAAGATGGCCTTTCTTCTTGCTATCACCTCTCTGAGGAGGGTGGGGGATCTCCAAGCGCTTTCGGTTTCCCCGCAAAGCCTGGAGTTTGCCCCGGGGAATATTAGGGCTATCCTGCACCCTCGTCCAGGATACATCCCTAAAGTACCTTCTTGTGCGGCAGGGTCCACAGTGCTGCAGGCATTTCATCCTCCACCTCATGTGACGGCGGAGGACGGGAGACTCCATCTGCTCTGCCCTGTCAGAGCACTGAGTATTTACACTCTGAGGTCCTCCCGTTGGAGGAAGGCTGACCAGCTGCTAGTGTATTTTGGGTCCCCCAGGTCTGTGCTCCCTGCACCCAAACATACTATTAGCAACTGGATTGTTCAGACTATTTCCCTGGCCTATCAGGTGCGCGGTTTGCCTTCACCTGTGGCTGTGAGGGCTCATTCTACCAGAGGGATAGCGGCCTCTCGAGCCCTCCTTTCCGGTGCCTCTTTGCAGGATGTTTGTGTAGCAGCTGGCTGGGCCACTCCGCACACATTCATTCGGTTTACAGTCTTGACTTTCCTTCGGCACCTGGCACTCGTGCACTCTCCTCTTAGTCGTGCCACTTTATTACACACTGGGGCAGGCGGGGTTTTCGGCACGGTTTAGTGGGTATCTCGTTCTCATAGTGTCGTAACCGACGCAGTTCGAGTCCACCTCCCCGTGTTTTTCCTGTGAGTTCCCTTTCGCGATCCGCGCAGATGAGATTAAATCCCGGTAGGTGAAGTGCGCTGTCCAGGATGCACTCGGTGAGCCAGGATTTGGTGAAACAGAGGGCAGCAGATCTGCAGAAGTCCAAGTTAGTTCTGTTGAGGAGCAGCAGTTCGTCCATTTTGTTGGCCAGAGAGCGGACATTCGCCAGGTGGATTGAAGGGAGTGCAGTGCGAAATCCCTGCTGTCTCAGTTTAACCAGCGCACCTGCACGTTTTCCCCTGCGCCATTCCCGAAAGGATCCCAAACAGCTGCCACTCCTCCAACTAATAACTTTGGGATAGTTCCAGGGTCAATAAAGAGCGGTGGAATAGTATGAGCAGGTGAAAGTCCAATGTTTAAGAGCTCTTCTCTGGTAAAAGTTACCAGAGAGGGACAGCAGAAAACAGCATTAATTAACAAAAACACAAAAAGCACTACGTAGCGTAATCCCGGGGCGGCCATCTGCGGCGCCATCTTAGCTAGCCTAGCCTAGCCTGCTAAATATTACACACTGGACCTTTAATTTACTGGTACATGTTTTGCTTTGGCGGCATTACTAGTATTACCTGGGAAAGGGTGTGTAGTAGAAAAATTGTGCTACGTTTTCTATTAATTTTATAATGTAATTAATTCAACTGTTCTAACACACAGGACAAACTTTATATATATATATATATAATGTATGTATGATGGCGAAGGTATTGTCCGTCCTAGTCTGCCTCCGATTGGCTTAACCTGATATTCTTACCCTTTGCCTAAACACTCTGAACCCAACCAACCAGTAGCAAATCGGAGGCAGATTAGGGCGGTTCTGGCCTTCGCCATCCTTGGATAAGAAAACAGACCAGTAGAAAGACATAAGTCTGCCCACAACATGATCAATGCGCCAATTAATTCATCTACCGAGGACTGAAGGTGTATGAGCCAAATTTGTTGAACATATCAAAATGCCGAAACCCGGGATCGAACCAGGGACCTTTAGATCTTCAGTCTAACGCTCTCCCAACTGAGCTATTTCGGCGATGAACATAAATTATGGTGCATGCCAACTTTAGACACACTAATTGGACAGCCGTTATTACCTTATAGATAATTAACAAGAACATGAGGCGTGAAAAGACCCTCGGCGGGCCGTTCATAGCTTAATCTTAAGTCTCCATGGCTCCGGAGGGACGTTCCACCGGTTCCACCACGTTCCACATGGTGACGTCATTTTCACACCCATGCTGAACGCAGAGGCTGCTGGGAAGAAAGGTCAAGAATCGATGGCCGCGGAAGGCACGGATTTACTGCAGCAAGAAAGGCTCTCGCTTTGTAGTACAAACTAATACTACTACCAAACACTTAACTAATCTGAGATGGCACCTGTACTCTGTACGCTGCCGACAACACATTAAACATTACAATGAGCTATTGTATTGTTTGTTTCTCTGAGACTCAGTCAACACTATAGGCTAGCCTTCGTTAGCTGACTAGCAGCTGCATTGTTGTTGTTTTGGCTTCATTCGGCAGCCATATAAACAATATTCTCCGAGGTTCCCCAGCGGAGGCAGGGGTCCGGACTGAGTGATGTTTTTCTGTCCGTCCCGGGAAGATGGATGAGAAGTCCAACAGCAGCCACCACCGGCTCGTGATCGTCCTGCTCATGGTGGTACTCTTTGGCGTCATTATGATCCAGTATGTGTGCCCGAGCAGGTCTGAGTGCCAGATGCTACACCAGCTGGGATCCTGGTTTAAGGACGGCAGTGCAACTGGTCCCCGGAGCCGTGGGAACGAAATCCAAGGCGGCCTCCAAAAAGATCCGTACATTGCAGAAGACGGCGCTCTGGTTCGCTTTGTCCCTCGCTTCAACTTCACCAAAGCCGATTTAAATCGTGTCGTGGACTTCAACATCAAAGGGGATGATGTTATAGTTTTTCTGCACATTCAAAAAACGGGTGGCACGACGTTTGGTCGACACCTGGTGCGGAATATTCAGCTGGAGAGGCCCTGCGAGTGTCACGCAGGTCAAAAGAAATGCACCTGTTTCCGACCAGGTAAAAAGGAAACCTGGCTCTTTTCCCGTTTCTCCACCGGCTGGAGCTGCGGGCTTCATGCGGACTGGACCGAGCTGACCAGCTGCGTCCCGTCCCGCATGGACTCACGCGAAGTTCCCGATAACCTGCCCAGGTTGGTGAAGGAGGATGCTTGGGATGGGAGTCCTACAGTTACCATGCTGTCATCATACATTACTCATGAAAACGAATATAGAAATGTGCAGTATACTGCAAAATAGTCTTATGCAGTACATCACAAAATCATCATTACTGATGCTAAATAATACAGATGTAATATAGGTGACAGCTGTTAACATGCATATTTAATGGAACAGTTTAATTTGACCTATTTGAAGCTGTTATATAGCTGTTTATTTGATCATTTAATGTATTTTCATCTTGAGTGTGACCCTTGGGGAAATCAGAATCAGTTTTATTGCCAGGTATGTGTACACATACGAGGAATTTGACTCAGGATTGTACACTGCTCACGATGTGTTTATACAATAACATAATTAGACGCAGGCTACAGTATAGAGAACACAAATATTTGAATTGTTCCTGACGCTGTTCATCAGAGTCAGCTGTGCATCAGAGTGATGGCTTGTGGGAAGAAACTGTTCCTGTGTCTGTTGGTTTTGACATACAGTGCTCTGTAGCGCCTACTAGAGTGGAGGAGCTTGAACAGGTTGTGTCTGGGGTGAGATGATGAAAAAAGATATTTTTTTCTGCAGTCCTGACTGTCCGTTGTAGTCTGTCCTTGTCCTTTTTGATCCTCCTGAAGTCCGTGGTCATTTCTACAGTTTTGAGTTTGGGTGGGTGGGGGGGGGGGGGGGTTCATTATGATACAACTGAATATAAATGACTTTCTTGTATTTAACTTCTCTGCCTAGCCTACCAAGTGCTTTTTGCCAAACTAATCCAACCAATCTATTTCCAAGCTTTATGATGGGTGTTTTGTCATTTTCTAATGTTCTATACAACAAAAACTCACTTAAATCATTAAAAAAATAATCAACAAATCTTATGTGCTTTTTTTTCTCTCCAGTAGGAACTATTATTATATAACCATCTTGAGAGACCCAGTATCACGCTACCTGAGCGAGTGGCGGCATGTGCAACGTGGTGCTACATGGAAGGCCTCCTTACACGTGTGTGATGGACGTTCACCGACCCTGTCTGAGCTGCCGAGCTGCTACTCGGGAGACGACTGGTCAGGTTGCTCCCTGCAGGAGTTCATGGACTGCCCCTTCAACCTGGCCAACAACCGACAGACCCGCATGCTGGCTGATCTCAGCTGGTGGGTTGCTACAATGTCTCCGCCATGAGTGAGGAAGAGCGCTGGGCAGTACTCCTTGAGAGCGCCAAACGTAACCTACTCGGCATGGCCTTCTTTGGGCTGACCGAGTACCAGCGTAAAACCCAGTATCTGTTTGAGCGTAGCTTCAATTTGGAGTTCATCGCACCTTTCACACAGCTCAATGGCACACGCGCCTCCACTGTTGAAGTACCCTCTGAGACACAACACAGAATCCTTGAGTTGAACCGATGGGACGTGGAGCTGTATGAGTACGCCCGTGACCTTTTCTTGCAGCGTTTCCAGGTGGCGAGGCAGCAGGAGCGCAGGCAGGCCAGGGAGAGGCGGCAGCAGGAGAGGAGGCGACTCCGTGGAAGGCTCATAACAAAGCAAGGGAGGCAGCTGAAGCCCACAGAAACACCCCGTCAGCCTGACAGACACTCTGTGGTAACTGAGGAGCAGCAGAGGGGGAAGGCTGACGGAGACAGTATGGAGTCACAAGTGCTACTCCCAGAATGGTGGGATCTGGATGAGAACGGCACCATGGAGGATTACATGGACAATGTTGAACAGTGGTAGTGATGGGAACAAGCAGTAGGGCGTCTTAATATAAGTGTTCCATGTTCTGCCTTGTTGTTGTTAATTAATCCAAGTTAGTTTCAGTGAATGCCTTCTACTAAATTATATTATTTTCTCACCATGAACCGTTTTAAATGACACATTTATTTATTGATACTGATTGTATTCTTTGCCACAACTGACATTCATAAAATATAAATTTTCTTGATAGAAAGAAAGGTGTAGGTATGTGCGATCCTATATCTTCGATCACACAGGCCTTGTATACTGTTCTCCTGACTTTTAAACACATCTGATCTCTTGTTATGTAGCTTGGAATGAGGGGATATTTATTTTTTCTTTGTTAAAAAAAACAATGTAATACCTGTTTCTATAAATAATATGCTACTGTTTGTGATTCACAATCTACATGTTTGCCAAATTGTTGTCTTTGTTGTCTGAAATGTGTACATTTGAAAAATGTACCTGTGCTTTCAAGTGTCTTTTGATCAACCGAAAAGGAGAATGGAATTTTCATAGATACCTCAATGTTGTAAAATTACTGAATGTCTCCCAAGTCTCATTTTTATATAAAAAATATTTTACATTCACTTAACTATTGTTGTATTCGGAGATATCTTTATGTGTCTGATCTCCTTTTATCTGATCCTTTTTATACACAGTCTAGGGTCTGATCATGAGCACAAAAGACTGCACTTGCAAACCTCTGAAACACCAGCAGAGTGCGCTAAAGTAATTTTAATGAAATCAAAACTTCCTAAGTGGAGATACTGCGGTGATTGTTGGCATCACGGCTTATTCTTAAATTTGGTTGGATAGGATTTGAGCCATGTTTCAGTGTGATCCTCAGAGGCTTTTTTAATAGAGCGATTAGCTGTGACAGCTGCTCCTAAATTTTTAAGGAATATTCAGCAATACACTGATAATGAAAAAAGACTATGAAGAATGCTAAAAGGAAGGATTGCTATATTTATCAGTACAGTTGGGGGGTGAGAACGGAGTATACACAGCTAAATGTCTATATACTGAAATATATAAACTCAGTTTTAGTTTTGATTTAAACTGAGAAAACTAAGAAAAATCTGACTCCTTTAATGTTTGCCTCTGTCAAATGAAAAACTAGAAATAATGAAACCGCCCCAAAAATCTGAAACCCTATCATATTTAGCAGGCCTGTAGATGATGTTCTCACCTCACAGAAAAGATAAAATATTAATCGGCTATATTATTATTGGAATAAAAGATTTTTAGCCAAACAAATGTGAAAAGGTGTGTGCGCTTGATATGCGTCTTAAGTACATTTTATTGTGAAAAACCACAAGACGACCGGAAAACCGGTAGAAAAAGCACCTTGGTAGCATCAGGTGGGATAGCTGAAGAGCGCCCTCCTACCTACATGCTTTGTCTGTCACCTAAGAAGTAAAATCATGTAATATACCGATTTTATACATGTTAAACGGTTAAAAGAGTTGAATACGTGAATATATCACCTTAAGTGTTTCACAAATTGGGTTTGGAAATCTCGTAGTAACGTTGGGCGGACGTTACGTTTAAATTTTCACCGTTAGTTTATGTTAGCCTGCTATCTTATTACTTTAAATAAAGTTAAACCCAGTTAGCCTTTAAATTAAATCCTTAAAATTACAGCACGCATATTGGGTTATGGAAGGGTTTTTTTTGGGGCTAACCTTTATCTGACCAGGTTGACAAATATCTTCCTATCAGCCTTCAACAGCTCTAATAGGTACTCAGGTGTGTCTTAATCCGCCTTGTATGTGTCTAACTGTATACACACATCTAGCGTATTGGCTATACCTACCTGCGACGTGTTTATGGCAGCCTACCTTGATACCTGCTGTGCTTGATTCGTGACTTTGATTCCCCTAATGATGTTATCTAATAAACGAAAGCAAAAACACACACCCACAGAGACACACACACACACACACTCTCTCTCTCTCTCAACTCCTCCCTCGCCATTTTTTGCCCACCCTTTTTCCAAATCTGTTATTTTCCTGTGTTTTCGGGCAGTGTTGCAGACGAGCAAATTTAGTTGCAGCCAACATTTCAGCTACCAAACCCCGCTTCTTTCTTTCACCTAACACGTTTTGTTGTACTTGCTGCGGTTTTAATATTTCTAGTTAGCCGCAACGCGCTTTCCCCCCTTATTTCACTTCTAGGGCGCGTCTTATTTTGGAAAAATAACCATCAAAATAAACATTTTAACCGACGTTTATTTAGGGGAAGACAATTCAGTCTGCATCCGATTGGACCATAAACAGGTAAGAGGATGAGCACGTCTGGCGCAGTTGAGTTTGCAGCAATATTATTGCTACCTTGTTTTATATTTAATCCATGTTGCAGTCATTTATAATGCCACTTCCACTCTGCCTGTTGCATGGAAGTTCAAAGCTGCATTTGTTATTGTACATGCGGGCATAACTGCGGTATTACACAAAGGCAGTAATAACACTTACATTTAACACGCTTTCGGCAGGTCTGCTGAGAGCTGCTCTGTGTGGAGACAAATAATGGTGTAACCCGCGGTCATGTGTTAGCATGGGAGCTGCACAAAGCTTTGGCTGAATGTAATATGCAGGATCATTATTGGATGTCTTTGGAGTGCCAGTGTATCAAGTACAAGTTGTTTTTTGTGTGTGTGAAGAGCAAGTGAAGAGCACAAAAAATAATCAATGTTGAAATGACTTCCAGAGTCTCTCTGTTTACTGTAATATTGTGTTAAATTCCATTAAAGCTGGTGGAAGTGAAGAGCACCTGCATGTTGCTTCCTGCTCAACTGGCCTATATCTGCAGGATTTTGCAGCCAGCCTCCAAGCATACAGTGCAAGGAGGTCCAGTCTTGTCCTTGTTTACCCTTAGGGGTCAAACACTGAAGCCAGCATGGTATACTGTACGCACTTCCTGTGAATGTATTGCCGTAATCTTTGCTCATTTGACAATATAACCAGTCAAGACAAGTTCACACTCCCTCCAGGCTGTGGACTCCAGTCTAGCTAGTTTTTCTTTACCTAATATAAACACTGATAAACTGACTAACACATGGGCGCTCAGCCACATTTACCACATAACCTGTTTTCATTATCCTTTCACACACACACACACATTAACACTGTCCAAGATGCTCCATGTTTTATGGTACAAATAAAACCATTCACCTAGAATACAGCAGCAGTAACACATCAAAAAATGTTATGCTGACAACACATTGTTGGTTCAACTAGAATATCTACAGTTTTTTCCACACGGTGAACTTTAATTATCTCACTACAGGGATGTGAAACTCCTAGCTCATAACTAGTATTATAGAGAAGTAAAATCAAAGCTCCAGGAGCTAGTAAACAAAATTAAAACTTTATGTGCAGCAGGAGGCAAACTAACCTGCATTGTTCCAAGTATTTCACACTTTATGAAGGCTATGTTGTTTTGTTTGATGTGATAGGCTTGTTGTATGTTTGCTTGAAAGTGAACGGTGGTGCTTTAATGAGCTGAAAGGATTACTGATACTTAACCTAATTACTTTGCTCCCTCCCTCCAAGCTGCTGGCTTTCACTCTCAGTTTGATTTATGGATCTTCCACCTTGTGCTTTCTAATCAGTCACCTGGTCATTGATGTTATCCTGTTTTTGCACTTGCCCTTGTCACTGCTCTCTCAGAACTGTTGTCCGTTTACTGGACTGTAACACACACGCATCGTGCAGTTGGGGATCAGAGTTATGTTTTCATTGCTGCAGTATTTGTTACCTCTAAAAATGGAGTTCACTGAACTTTTTGGAATGGGGAAACTACATTTTTTTTTAAAAACGTCCCACAGGAAACGCTCAGATACTCGTGTGAATATGGGCCAAAGTGTTTTTTCCCAATGTATAAACACTCTAAAACACTTTACTCTCCCATTTTACATATTCACCCAATATCAAAAAAGCAGCACACTTACATTTTATTCAGAAGGCGTAGCCTTTTCTAGTTTTATAACTCTTTTGATGTCTCTGTCAACCTGTTCTGTTTGCCTATGATGCATTACATTCCCATCTTATATATTTACACTATGCTCTTAATCTAGAGCAATTCACATTTCCAGTTCATTATAGTGATCAGAGTTCCCCTGAATCTTCACCCCTTTTCAACAGCTGAAACTTCAGTGATTGTATTTCGACTGCCACTGCAGCTATTTTTAGTATGTACTTTCAAATATTCCAACTGCAAATTTTCAGCAATGAGTACACATGAATTTTCCTCCAAAAAATTTGGCTTTTCTAGTTTTATAATTATTTAGTTCTCTCTGTCAACCTGCAGTACAAGCCAATAACACAGTCCAATTTAAAACATTTAACTAAATCTTAATTAACCCAAAGTGATTCATAATAAAGTATAACCAATAGATAATAGATCAAGTTTAAATTTCTATGACTTTTAAGTTAAGGATATTTAACTCTTCAGCACGTCAGTTGATTCCTCAACCTCACCCAGCCCAGACACTGAGACTGACACTTTAACTTCATTTATTGTTTAATCTTAATCTGAAAATTGTAACTTCTTTCATTGCTTCAGTTGCTACTTCTTTACGTACAGTAATTGTATTTTGACTTATGGTATTTCAGTGCATCTTTACAGCAGTGAGCACACTTGAATTTTATTCAGAAAATGTAGTTTTATACTTTTGTTGTCTCTGTCAACCTGATGGATTAGCCCATAACACTTTACATTCTCATTTATTGCACCACAATTTTTTTCAGGTGGATCTTTAACTCAGCTACAATTTCTAATCCACCAAAATTGCCACTGGCAAGAAATTAAAGTGACACACTTTAAACATTCTCCTGCCTATACCATGATTATGCAAAACAAATGTGCAAAGAGAAAAATATAAAAGCAGAAATAATAACAAGGGGTTTATTATTATAAGTATTATGTGTCACCCTGCCTTTCGCAGAATACATGCCTGGCACTTTACATTTTTGGTGGTATAAGGCTATCTATTAGTGTGAGCAGATAAAGTCTGTCGAGGTAGCACCCAGCCTACACACCAGCCATAATGCAGACGTCAGAGCTCCGGTGAAGGTTACACTGCCGGTAGCCCTTTGGTGCACTGTGTTTGATGAGGGACGCAGTGCGCTGGAGTCAACAGCAGCCACCTCCGTATACTTCCACCCCATCCTGTTCCACCTACATGTTGACCCCCATCTACTGACTGCTGGAGCCCCTCTTCTCACTGCAGACACCTGGAGGACAGGCAGCAGCATAATGACTGTTATAACTAGGGCGCTCTATATTTATTCACCATGCCGCATCTCTGCAAATGACTGTTTATGCTGCATTGTAAAGGTCAGACAAGTTCACTAGGCCAAGATTATTTCTGTACAAAATGTACAATTTATTACAGTTTTCTTATAACTATATGGGAAGAGAGTTTTGTCGAACATTTTAAGTACATACATGTATTATAGCTGAAAGTATTAGTCATTTTAAGATTTAACTATTTAGATAATTCATTTTATCAGATTTCAGCTTCTCAAAGGTTAGGATTTACTGCTTTTCTTTGTCATATGATATTAAATTTAATATCTCTTGGTTGGACAAAACAAGCAATTTGAAGATGTCACCGTGGGCTGAAAAATTATTGTGTATTCTTTCAAACAATAAAGAAAATAAACAGAATATTATTCAATAATGAAAACAAATCATTAGTTGTACCCATATCATGTAATATAAAGTTAAATTACACGTTTTGTTTATTTACAATCCAAGCAGCATAGCTAAATCATATTTCTATGCTGTCTTATATATGTTTTATTTTTACTTACGACTTGTAACCCATTTTTCAATGTTGTGAGGGACAACACTGGGATGTGTGGGCTGAAAATGCACAATAATGCAGCCACAAGCATGTAGTATCAAGCCCTTATCTTTTGAATAGAGCACTTTATCAATGATACAACAGAACTTGAACTTCTTCCTCTCTCTTTTTTTCTCGCTCAAGTCCTTTTGCTACATCTGCCTCATCATTATTTGCTCCTTGATCTGTTTGTTATGCCCGTGTATCTCCTGGCCTCCTCTTGTTTATTCTCTCGGTAGAATTGTGCAATATTGCAGCTTGGCAACAGATGTTTCATTCCAAACTGACGGATCTTTATTTCTAAAGAGTGATATCTTTTTTAAAACATTGCTCAGGATGTAAAACATCAAATAAATGCAAGTAGACATTATTTTGCTAAACACAGACAATTCATCCGCCTGTTGTTTTTGTATGTTTTGGCTAAAAATAATTGTTGGGTTTCTTACAAGTTTGTGACATAGTTGAAGACAGTGAATTTTATAAAGATGGCAATGTACTGTTGAATTTACCCTGGTGATTGTATCGGTCTGTTGCTGTTGGTAAATTAGTCATTCAGTAATCTGCAGATTAGTCCCATGGCGTGCTTACACAGTGCAGTCAATCAAATCTCTAGTGCTAGTTGTGTGGCTTTATGGATGGCAATGTCAATCTGTCGGCCTGTCAGTCCACTTTGGTCCAGATTGAAACAGCTCAACAACTGTTGGATGGATTTCTATGAGATATTTTACAGGCTCCCCATGTTCCCCAGAGGATGAACCCTCTGACTTTCATGCTCCCCTCACTTTTAGAGTCATCACCAGGTCAAAATTATAATTTGTCCAGTACTTTGGTTTATAATCAGATATCTGCAAAGAAATGACATTTCCATCAACCGCAGTTGTACTTTGTGTTTAGTGCTAATAGCAAATGTTACAATGCTAACACGCTACATAGTTAGCCTAAAGCTGCATAAGTAGAGCCTCACAGAGCTGTTTCTCTAAAGGCCCTGAAATCTTCCGTAAAGGCCCTGATAGAGGCCAAGGGCAATGCTTACAAGGAAAGCTGGGTTAAACAGTTGGTGAAATTCTCAGGGTGGTAAAACTCCTGGAAAGTAGAGTCACCGCAGCATATAATCGTGAAAGGTCATTACTGTGTGGTACAGGGTGCAATATAAACTAGAACGGCATTGGAGGAGAGCCAGTATTGCTGCATATCTTTCCAGGAACGGTTGTAATGGCAACTGTGCGCCATTTGGTGCCTGGTGTGGTGAGAGTGAGGAGAGGAAGTGAGGAGTGTTGCTGAGGAGCATTTTGATCATGCGGGTTGCATATTGCTGAGCTGCATCGTGAGGGTGTGCGTAAGCAAGGGCACTTGACACTGATGTGGACCTGAATGCAGGACAGGCAAAGCTGCAGGAGGAGTGCTTGTCTTGTCCCCCTGAGAAAAATTTCTATCGATCTGTAGGTAGGCTGGGAGGAGGAGGTGGAGGAGGCACAGACAAGCATAATGGTTAAGCAAGCAAAGCAATTGCTGTACCTGCTCATCATTCATTCCTGCCTCTTTTTTTGGCTGAGATGTGTCTTTGTTCTTGTGTTTGAAGGTGGGTGTATCAGTTCAGTACCCACCTCCCCCTTATCCCTCCTTCTCACACTCCACTGCGGTGTTCTCCTTCTGGGCTGTCTATCTGCATGCTCCCATACACACACACATACACTCGTTCCCTCATACTCTCCCCCCCGTCGGTTCCTCAGTCTGTGTCTGCCGACATCAGACGCAGGGACTGATAATATCTGCTCTAAACCCCTCTCCTCCTCCTATTTTTTGTACGCTATTGTTTATTCACTTTGTGCATTAATGCACTAGAATGTCCTTATTTTTTATACAGGATAGCCTCCCTTTCTGCAGTTTGGACTTTGCCTTCTTCTGGGAAGCTAAATTGTAGTTTCTCCTCGTTGTCTATCTTTATTGAGCCACCTCACTGATTGTTATCTGTATTCAGTTGGTGTCCGGACACGTCACTCTGCTCGTTGAGAATGAGCTGCACACCACGTTGCATGCACCCTCCTTGCATCACATTGCAGTATATTCTACTGTTTGAATAAGACTAAACTTACTCCTCCACGTCTGGGACAAGGCACAGCCGTTTGGAGTCGGCTCAGAGTTGTTGTACAGTTTGAAAATTAGCATGTGGCTCAGCCATGACTGTGCTGTACCAGTGAAAAAAAGCCTGGGAGGAACAAGGACAGGCTCTGTGCAGGGAGGAGCTGCTGTGGAAACTGCCCTGTCATTGGTTAGTGATGTGCTCTGTGTGCCTGCAAAAGTCTGTCTGATTGGCTGGAGCCTTGCATTGAGCACAGCAGCTGCAGTTGTGTAGAACTGCCCCCCTCTCTTTTTTGCCCTGTCCCTCCTTTTTCTACTTCTTCCCTTCACATTAATAACTGTCTAGGAATCATCGTTGTCGATCACACGTGCCAGCCTGTGCGATTCCAAGGACAGTATATTGCAGCTTCATATCAAGTTAGTCAATTACTTTCTGCTCCTTGGGGAGTTGAAGTGACGTCTCTGTCCTGCCTGCCATATCCCATCCGCCCTCACCCACCTCTCTCTCTCTGTCTCTCTCTCTCTCATATCACTTAATCAAGACATAGCTTGCCCTTTCCTGTTCACTGCTGCCTCCTTGGGCTCTTTCCCTGCTACCCTCCTGCCTCGTGGTCCTCATCACCTTCCGCTTAAACAAGCTCTACACAAGGTTGTGGCTTTATATTTGGTTTTGTTAATGCTTTGAATTAATGTTTGCCTTTCTCTTTTTAAGGTCTGCTGCAAGACAACAAGCAAGGGCATGCAAAAGAAACGTCAGTGAGGAGAATGACAACAGAAGACCAGATAACAGCAAAGGAGGTATGAGAAAGAGACTGAAATAAGAGGAGGTAGTAGAACTCCAAAGTGCCTACTGCGAGGGGTTGTCTGCTGCTGTTGAGCTGCTGTCTGACTCTGTTGGATGAGAGCAGGACGGGGCAGTGTGTTTGGCCTTGAATTGAGGCTATATTTTATCCTGACAGCCACAGAGTCATCCATCCCACGTTGCTGAGCTGCAGTCCCCACATACTCTGAGCTGAGCCGCCACCTCGTCTCATCAGTGCAAGGACACCAAGGTTCTCCTTTTTTGTTGTTTTACTGAAATCTTCTTTTTCAAACTCTTCAAACATAACTAGCACTACAGTGACTGCCCCAGCTTTGGCCATGTTGACGTGAATGTAACATATGGTGGGTGCCAGTTTATCCAGGTGAAGGCACAGACGCTCTGCAACATATCCAAGCATGCCAGAGTGATGTCCTCAGAGTAGTTTCTCTTTGTTTTGTTTTTTATTCTTCGAGACAGAGCTGGCCTCTGCTCCCATTCAACCCCCTCTATCTCACCCCAGCGAAACTTCAGCTGCCACTTTTCCCAGGAAGAACTAATAAACAACCCCCTTAAAATACGCCAACCAAAAGGACTCGCTGCCTATTTGAGCTGAGGACAGACAGAAAATATTTTTGCTTCTGTTTCCTCTGTGTTGTGCTGGGGATTTTTATTGTTGCCTCACTATTAGTCACCCTTGCTCTCAGACAGTTTTCCACCCATCTGCCCACACGCTGCTCAGTGCTCGTGAGCGAGTCTGATGGCTGTTAGCATGTCCATGGGACGGGACACCAAATGGCTGACCCTGGAAGTGTGTCGTGAGTTTCAGAGAGGCACCTGCTCGCGGTCTGATGCTGAGTGCAAGTTTGCCCACCCCTCCCGGAGCTGCCATGTGGAGAATGGCCGAGTCATCGCCTGCTTTGACTCACTCAAGGTAACAATGCAAATATTAGACACATCAATCTTTGCCTACATTTCATTTTTTAGACACATGCATAGTGATCTATGTCAGATTAGATTTGATTAGATGGCTCAGCATTGTATTGAACACAGATACACACAAGCCAGAGTTTCCTGTTGTAGCAGAGGTGGTCTTTGTTTCAGGTGAGGTGGCCCACCTTATGCGGCCACAACCACTTTTAGAAAGCAAAACATTAACCTTTGGGGGAATGTTTCATATTATGCCATAAATTTAATGAGTTTAAATCATTTAGGTTGTTGTCTACTAACTGAATTGTTCAACAGAGAAGATGCGTCATGATGAATTTCCTGGAAATCTTGCAAACTATTTCAGTCAGTCAGTCAGTTGATCCACCCTACGTAGATTTTTTAAAGCTTTTTTTTTATTATTTTTATTTTTAGAATTTTTCAAATTTAATCTCTTTTTTTTTTTACTGAAAATTGCATAAACATTGCGCTTGATTTTGGCATAATGGAGTCTAGAGTCATCAATTTCAACTAAGGGTGGGTGATATGGATCACATCAAATTACAGTATAGGTAACTTTATTTTGTGAATTAAAATTTACTGTATATATATAATGATATAGTACTGTACATTTAAAACTTATAGATAATGCATCTAGATGTGAATGCCATATACAGTGACACCTGTACAAGCCAAGGTACTTATTTTATTTTAAAAGGTATTTTTGGATAGCATACTGTTGGAAGACAGACAGAAAAGGGAGAGAGAGAGAGACAGACCACTAGGCCCCCGTAATTCCAAGGCAAGGTACTTTGTTACATCGATAAAAAAATTGTGTAAATCCCATATAAAAGTACTCACTGATTTGCAACATTGACTGCAATGATTTAATACAACCAGATATATTACATATATATATGGGGATAGTTACCGCTGTATAAGTGGTATTGAAAAGTCTCTGACAGATTTTATCTTATGATATATGTAAGAAATAACACTCAATATGCATTCATTTAGAACTGAAATCAAACACCTACGTCATAGATGTCTGTTTATCGTGTCTTGTTACTAGAAATTAATCCACACCTACCAGCCATTCACAGTTTTATTGCTGTCGTCATTTTACCCTACCCTAATTTAAACCAGGCAAACTGAAATAATTCTCTATACCTAAACACATGTAGATATGTAGAACATTGTCAGAGCAATATCTTCAAGATATTTATTGTTTCCATTTGGCCTGGAGTAATTTCTCGTAAAGCCACTTTGCCGACAGCCTGTCCATCCATCAGTGATGTGGGCTTGTCGGTCGTGCTACAACATCACTGCAGCTGCTCTCCTGACTCTCGTCTTCCCTCCTCCACCACAGAACCACAACACTAGCTCTACTCATACACAGTCTGAGAAGTGACGACGCTTTACTGTACTGAAGAGCAGCGACTTTTCAATGGCCACTTGCGTTAAAATCGAGAATAGACTGTTGCTGTGTTGGCGTGTGGATACATGTGTGTTTGTGAAAGGTTTTGCTCGACCAGCTTTCATGCAGGGAAAAACTGAGACCCAGACAAGGGGCTTTCTGTCTGAGTGCAGCTGCTGTCTCCTCGTTTATTGAGTTAGAATTTATTATTCAGCCATTTTTCTGTGTTGTCCTCCAGAGCAGGGAGGGAGAGGGAGAGAAGCGAGAGAAACAGAGAGGGGGGGCCTAGCAACAGCACAGGAGTGTGTACCCATTGGATAGTTTGATCTTCCTGAGTGGCACGGCTGTTTTTAGCACAGGGCAACAGCCTGGCTCTGTACTGGTTGCATTGATGGAAGAAAGAGGCGAGCTTCTTTGTACCAAAGACAGTGAACAAGCATTAAAGGCCACGTTTGGTTGTTTGAAGCCCCGGGGTCATGTTGTTGGTTTGAGAAAGAACTGAAGTTGTTGACAGTTGAAGGTCAAAGCAGCTTTCTTTATCAGGAGCTGCAGCAGGGCTTTAGTACCTGAACAGTATGTCAACAACCACCTCTGTACAACAGTGTTTCTATCCTCATTGTTGTTCAGGATTATACTCAGATGACAGCCGTTGTTTTTGGTCGACTGACTAGAAAAAACAAAGAAGCACCTCGCTCTGTCCCCAACAGAGCCGCTCCACAGCATCACTCCTTCCTCCTGCTCTCCGCCCACCCCTCCCTTCTTTGTTAATTTTATGGATTTATCTGCTAATGGCCTCCCTCCTCACCGTCCCCCCCATATCTGGCATCTTTAGCCTGGTCCGAGCCGACCGCTGTCATTCCCTGTTGCTCCTCCATTAGCTGTGTCTGGTTGGTCTGAACCTGCTGCAGGGGAGGGGGGGGGGGGAGCTCACTGCCTAGTTCTTTTTACCTTGTTAACTGGAGTGCTGCTGTCATCTCCAGTGATTACATACTGTAGATTCAACAGCAGTGTCACCTCTGGATGACATCATGGTAGGGCCGCAACTAACAATTATTTTCATTATCAATAAATTTGCTGAATACTTCAATCAATCAATTCATTCTTTGGTCTATAACACAACAGAAAATGTTCAGCACAAGTTCTCAGAGCCAACGAAGACTTCTTATAAAATGCCTCTTTTGTCGAAACACAAATTCTGAACCCCAAGATACTCACTTTCATCATATAAGACAAGACTGGAACCAGCACATGTTAGCAGCTCTGTGAGGCTGTCCTTCAATGCAGCGTGTTAGCATGCTAACATTTGCTAATTAGAATTAAACACAAAGTACTGAGGCTGATTAGAGTAGCATTAGTTTTGCAGGTTTTTGATCATAAACCAAACTATCAAACAGACTGATTTTGATCTGAGGATGGTGCAAGATAAAGGTGAAGGGATCTTCCCCTGGGGACCATGAGCGTCTGTACAATATTTCATCTTAATCCATCCAACAACTGCTAAGATATTTCAGTCTGAACCCTATCCCTAGAGCCATGCTTTTAGCATGGCTAAAAATGTCTCAAACAATAAATCAATTATCAAAATTGTTTCCAATAAATGTTCTGTAAATCAAGTAATTGCTTAATCCACGTATTGTTTCAGCTGTACATCTTTGTCACATATGAGAAAGAGCTTAAACTTGAGAATGGTTAAAAACATCAAGTTTGTTTCATATTATAATGGGATATTATGCAAATGTACAAACGTGTCTAACAGTTGATCCTATTTGTTGATGTCCCATCTCTCTCTTCTCTCTGAATGCATCGATAGCACACTACTGTACTTACAGGGACTTTCTCTGTGTTGCGTAGTGTGTTACCATGGCTACCAAAAGGAGATTCCTGACCTGATACTCTCCTCAACACAACTTTTCACTGGCCTCTGTCTCTACACCAGATTTATTAGCTTCTATAAAGGTTTTGTTCAGTGCTCATGCTGCTAGAACACAAAATTCAGACAGTAGTATGGTCCACGTTTTGTTTTGTTTTTTGGAGCACACAATGCATAAAGTACATCATTAATAGGTACTTTTCTTTCCCTCTGAGTTTGAGCTTGCTTGTGGGCTTATGGGACTCACTCCTCATTACGGACTCATCCCTAAACACACAGCTCGCTGATGCAAAGCTTGCTCGCCTCTACAGTGTAGGCGAGGGTGTTTGTGTAAGCCTGTGTACCATCCTGACCATCATTCAGGCTGCTGTATGTCTGCCTGTATGCTTTTTGTCATGTGTGTGTATCCCTTGTGGATGCTGGTATAGGAGACACTGCGGTTTCTCCCTGTCCTATGTAGTCCTCCTGCTGCCAAACCCCTTTTTATGTGTCCCCATCTCAGCGTGACATCGTCCATCATCGTCAAAGTCTCTGCACCATGACGTCAGTTTGTCTTCACAGATTTGTATTTTCCGTTGCTTCAGTGCTCATGATCACCTAATGAGAGCTGGTTTGTGTGGGTGGGTTTTGATGACAGAGCATGTGGCTGACATTAGTGTGGGTAGTTTAGCAGGTTAACAGCTCATCTGCAGGGGCAGACAGCTGCTGTCGCCCCAGGTGTTTAATGGAGACTGCAGTTTTACCTCTGAGTATGTGTTGACCTGCAGTGTTCCTGCAGCACCATCTTCACCTTCCCCGCAGACTCTGGCAGGGAGGAAGGACACAGCTTCAATGACATTCTAGGGGCAAAATGAATTGCTTTTAGATAAATGGCTCAAAATCTGATTTAGGGTTTGTCAAGAAGCCAAAAATCCAAAAATGACAAGTAAAAATGAGCATAAAGAATTACTCGTTGTTGTTTTATACAACCATTTATTTTTGTTTCATTCACATTTATTACAAAGGGCATCTACCTTGCTGAAAAACACAAGTACACAGCTGTATATATACAAGCTGTCTGCCGTCATTGTTTAAGCCTGCATGTGTTGAATGAAGCTTTGCATACAGGACAAATAAAAAAGCGTTGACTATGAACATAAGCCCAACGTCAGAATACTGGCTGCTTAGAGAAACATGAGCTGCATTCATCAATGAATAGTCATGAATAGTTTTCTGTTTATTAGATTAGCGTGTTTAACAAAGTCATGTTAAAACACATGTTTTTAATAATTAATGGTAGTGGGATACATTTTTCCAATAGAAAAGTAAAACACTTAAACCTCATGTCAGCAAACTGTTCTGACCTCCTGGAGGTGAGGAGTAATAAAGATCAATAATTACAGACTAGTTTTCCAAAACTGATATGTATAATATATAAAGTTCAGTGGTGGAGTACTCAAATACTGTATTTAAGTACAGATTTAGTACTTTATACTTTTTACTCCACTAGCAAGTTACTTTAAATTTTAAGATTTTATATACAAAGTATGTCATGAGCTTCAAAATTTGTATATGTATATATACATAACAGTATGTCAAATGAACTCCACCTTGATTAGTTACAACCTAACAATCTTATATAATATATAATTGTGTAACACTCACAGGGACCATTTTCTGTACCCGATAATGACCAGGTAGAGATACAGAACGTACAAGGTGGTGAGAGTCGAGCATATGTTTTCACTCCCCAGTTTTTTCTCTTGTCAGCCAAGTTTATTTGACTTCAGCTTAGTGTCTGTGGAAAAATACAAAGCTGGCTCAAATATTCAACAAGCATTTCACATTGCTTGAAGAAATGAATTGTTAACTGAAATGAAAAGTATAGTTTGAGTGTAGCTCAAGGGCCAAGTCATTTGCTTGTAGAAACAAGAAACATGATTATTGTTGATTCCAACATTGCATACTTTTAATGATGAACTTTTTTAGAAAGCGGTTGCGCTTTTCTCATGAATTATACAATCCGCAGTCTACTGGGACTTCATTAGTACTTTATTTCACCAGAATTTACCTTACACAGTTCTGCTCTGTAAAAATGTATGATTCTTGATGTTTAGTTTAACAAATTGTGCTTGATTACATAGTTGAGTTAAACCAAACTTAGATCAGTGGCTGTAATAAGGTGAGCGTTTTATCTTTGGTGTCGGAGAGTTACAGGTCTTTAGCGCCTCAATCACATTATTAAAAGTCACTGCAAAGTGCCACCCTGTCTGCCTGCTCTCATCTTTCCTGCCTCCTCTCTCCTCCTCAGGGGCGCTGCACACGTGAGAACTGTAAATACCTGCACCCACCTCCACACCTAAAAACCCAGCTGGAGATTAATGGGAGGAACAACCTGATCCAGCAGAAGGCCACGGCAGCCATGTTGGCTCAACAAATGCAGTTTATGCTGCCCGGAACACAGTTGCAGCCCATAGTGAGCAACTACAATTACAACTTTTTGTAATGAATGCAGTGTGTTAATTAATTAATTAATTAATCAAAATGAACAATTAATGTCCATTTACAGTGAGAATTATATACAAAAATTCCTTGCAAATATAACCTAACTGGGGTTTTTCCCACTTGAGAAGCATATTCCGAATGTGCTGTATACATGTCCAAAGAATGGTCTTAAAACCCGAATAATATCAGCTTATCCCACATGTCTTAATCGGAAAATGCTATATTCAAAATAAGCTCTTATGCTGATTACATGACTTATTATATTTCTTAATATGACTTAAACACGAGACTGTAAAGAGAAGAGTTGACCCTGACATGATTTGAACACACAACCTTCTGATTTGTAGTCAGACGCACTACCATTGCACCACAGAGTCAGTTTGTGCTGTGGTTTTAAAACCTCATTATGTATTTTGAAACTTTTGTCAAAAGACAAATCATGTAAAAACTGATAAATGTTTATAGATTGTATATATAGGTGTAAAAGTTCATTTTCCAGCCATAATTTTGAGGTTCAGTGTGAAATATTTAGGAGGATCTATTGACAGAAATGCAATATAATATCATAACCATGTTTTCAGTGGTGTATAAAGACTTTACATAATCAACCGGTATGTTTTAATACCTTAGAATGAGCCATCTACATTCACTGCGGGTCCCCTTACATGGAAGTCACCATCTTTGTTCTACATGTTTCTACAGTAGAACAAACTGCTCTAAAGAGCGTGTTTCGTCACTATGTTGAATACTTATGAACAAGAAGGAGAATTAGTAGTAGTAGTAGTAGTCATCTGGTTTGTTAGAAGTAGGAAGAGGAGGGAACTTTGGACAAATGAAGGACCACACATATTATTCAGCACAAGAGCCGACAGAGCGTGTAGCCACTGTAGCTTCTCCTCTGCACTAGCAAAGTGAGTGAGTGAGCAGTGAGTGAGTCGTTGGTTGCAATTCGCAGCCCTCATCATTAGATACCACTAAAACTTAAACACTGAACCTTTGTGAAGCTTTCATATATTGTAGATTCATTACAAATAAAGTAAAATATGTCACGTCTATTTTTGTTTTAATCTTGATGACCACAGCATGTAGCTCATGGAAATCAAAAACCTATATTCAAAATATTAGAATATTAGAATAAAGAAACTATAATACAGAAATGTTGACCTGTTGAGTGTTGAATGAATATTTAAAAGGTGTAAAGAAAAGTTTTAAATTAATATACATATTCAAAATCAGTTTTTATAAATTTTAGTTTGATATTTGGTTAAGACTCTTATTCACATATAAACAATAATAATAATACAAAATAGTTTTAATCAGCAACAGTGAAGGTAGCTTTTGAAGGCCCTCTCTGAATCTTAGATTATGTATGTATGTTTATATTGCGTTATTCTCATTGTTGTAAAAACCCATACAGTACAAGTTATGTCACCACTGAATCCTCTAACAAAGCAAGAGAAAGCTCTGCTTTAACTTGTTTTCTCTCTCCTGTCTCTGCCATAATTTCCCTCTCTCAGACAACATTCCCAGTGACGCCCTCCTTGGCAACGAGTCCCAATATGGCGTTCAGTCCATATCTGAGCCACATGGGCCCAGGCATGGGCCTGATGCCTGAGCTGCTGCCCAGTACTCCCCTGCTGGTCCCTGGGAGTCCCACCGGCTTGGCAGCCATGGGCAACGGCACCTCCGCACAAAAACATGTGCGCACAGACAAGCTGGAGGTATGCGGCCTGTGTGCAGTTGTTGTGTTTCTATTTTTGGGCTAAGTATGTATGATGAAAGGTAAATGTTGATCAGTGCTCCCCCCTGGCCCTTCCAGGTTTGTCGAGAATTCCAGCGTGGTAACTGCACACGGGGTGAGAGCGACTGCCGTTACGCTCACCCCCTGGAGGCTGGCATGGTGGACTGCAGCGAGAACTCGGTCATTGTCTGCATGGACTACATTAAAGGTCGCTGCAGCCGAGACAAGTGCAAGTACTTCCATCCCCCGGCTCACCTGCAGGCCAGGATCAAGGCTGCACAGCACCAAGCCAGTCAAAACACAGCGTCCACAGCCTTGGTGAGTCCTTCTCAACACTGTAACAGGAACAAACACTGAGAACTCATTGTTCTTTTTTCCAAAAATAAACACTGGCCAAGGAGTCATCAACTGCTGGTCTTTGATACAATGAACTCTAGAACAAAAAAACACCGGTGTAAGCAAATACTCACCTTCCTAAACGTTACAAATCAACAATCACCGTATCTGCTTAACACAGCAAGGAAACAGTAGAAGATATTCTTGTTATCTACTTGGATATTGTTTACTGATGCAATGAAGGATCAGGGTATCACACTATCCCTCGGCTTGAAATTTGATCATGTAGTCTGGGGATTATATTTTTCATGAATGTCTGTTACTGTGCAGGTGTCTGAGCCTGTACTCTCGGTGAAGCAAGCTATAAGGGCTAAAGTTAGCATTGTGAGCAGCTGTAACACAATCAGGTCAAAAGCAGTATTGGAAAAAGATATAAAATGAAAGGGATTAGAAACATAATGTATCCAAGGTTTATGCAATTTGGTATTCATTTAGTGTTTGTTGCTGTGACTACTAATGCTGTAATGCTACTGCTAATGCTATTAAATGAATGTATTGTTCCTGTTGCTACCATTCTGTATTGCCACCAATGGTTCCTGTTTTCACTGATTTAATCTTAAGTAATCAGGATAATCAGGCAGGATAATTAAAATTCATTAAATGACAGCTTGGCATGACTAAACTGCGATATGTGTCTGTATTCATGTTATTATTGTATTTCTGTTTTATGAGTAAAATGTTATCTTGCTTATCTTCTGCTGCAGTTTGATGTTTCAGCACTGGCCCCATTAGCGAATGAAATCATAGCAATCCCACTTTGCTCTTGGCCTGACCTCTGGGCTTTCACTTCATTTAATCTTACGTACTGCAGTGTCCTCTTGTGGTTGTAAGCAGAAACATCCACGTCAACTGAATGTTGAGTCTAAAGAGCACTTACACAGACGACTGTATTTTTACAATGAGATAAATTACACAGATAATGCCGTTTTTTCTTTCAGTGTTGATATAAGTTTTGTAGCCCGCAGTGTTTAAAGATAACTTTCCTCTGGGTTTCTTCCTGGCCAGGGTCTGCCTCCAGGTGCCATGCAGCCGCTACAAAAGAGGCAGATCTTAGACAAGAGCAATGGAGCTGCTGCCGCTGTCTTTAACCCCAGCATGTTCCACTACCAGCAAGCCCTGGCTAACATGCAGCTCCAGCAAACAGCCTTCATCCCCACTGGTGAGTTTCAACACATATTAGTAACACGGAAACATAGTTCATACAGTGTTACCTTACCGTACATGCAGGAGGTAAACTGGAATCATGAACCCTTGGGGCTTGATTCTGGGCAAACAAATCCAAGAGATGACGAGTAATATTGTGGGATAGAGGGAGTTACAGGTGTAGTGGTAACAGTGTGCATGCTGTGGCTTCTCTACAGTGTAACTGCTCGCCTTTACCCCTTCTATCATACCTTACTTCTCTTCCTTTGTTGCGTTGCTTGCATTTGCTTCACTCTTTTCCATAGACAAAGTTGGAGAGTACACGTTACATTAATCAGTCCAAACCAAACACAGGCAGTAAACACATCAGAATGCCATAACGTAGGACAGTTGGTGCAAGTATTGGTGGGTGCATGAGTGCATTTCTTGGCTCTTGGAAATCTTGGAAGTCCTTCTATTTTAAAAGCAAGGTTGTGTGTGTGGTTTGGCTGAAAGTAGCAGTAAGCAATAGAAAGCAGCAGCTAAACAGAGAAAGGGAGACAGAGCAAAGGAGAGCAAACACCAGTTCTACTACTCTTAACCATATTTCAGGTAACATGACATAATTGTAGTTTTCTTCCCACTGTTTTCATGTATTTTGGCATTAAACTGGATGTCTGATTGTTACTTAACATCACAACAGATGTTAAGGGTTTCATTTAGATTAGTATGGATGGGCTAGAAATGTACAAGCATGTTTTGTTGGATGAAATTAGAGCTGAAACAATTAGTCAAGTAATTGATTTGTTCATTGACTGATAATTGGCAACAATTTCTAAAAATACATCATTGTTAACCTAATTTAATATTTGCTGGTCTCTCAGATGTGAATATTTGTTCTGTGTTTTCTTTTTTTTATATACTGATAATTGTAACTTGAATATCCGGGTTTAAAAGTGTTGGTCAGAAATGATATGCTGGGATGTCAAAATCTATGATGAGTATTTTTTTTTAAATCCGACCTAGAAATTCATAGGTTAAACAATGAATCCATTAATTAAAACGCCTTTAAAAATAATCATTAGTTGCAGCCCTACATTAAACTGAAGAAAAAAGAACCCTTATAGGGACAGAAAATAGTGTTGGTAATGCTTCAAGAGACACTTACTGCTATTACCACTGAAAAGATATTTTGCATATCATGCTAACTGTAAAGAAACTGTGGTTAGTGAAATGCTTGAAGTCTGTCAGACATGAATTATTGATATGCCACATGCCTAAATTATATAAGATAGAGGTCTGTAGCCAAAACACCCACATACTGTACCTGTTCTGTGCTGAAGGGAGTTTCATCTTAATTTCTTGCTGCTTGGATAGATCACGTCTACAATATACTGAAACTAATCAGAACGTCTTTTCTGCTCATTGGCTGAAAGCAGTTCGCTTTTGCCCTCTTATCCTTCACTGATCAGTAACTTGTTTTTGTGTGTCTTTGTGTTTTGCACTAACTGTGACAGCCTCAATGTCGCTTGTGTTGCCTTCATTAACTTGAACAATTTTGACCGGCTGTTACCAATTGCACCTTCTTCTTTACCACAACTCCTTCTCTTTGTTTTCTTTTGTCCTCCTCTTGCTGTCCTTCTTATCTGCTCTCATCCATTTCATGTTTTTCACACGTGTCAAAATAATGTGACAGGCACCTTTCTGTGCATGTTGCCCTCAGGAGTCATTGGTACGTCAGCTATATCTGATATATATGTGGAATTGGACAGGAGCCTTTATTGAATGATTGATTGATTAATTGGAGGAAAATTTGTCACTTTCCTGTGATAAGTAAGGTGTCACAGTGAATCGTTCTCCCTATTTTGTCAAAGCAAAGGTGGTGTTTTTTATTATTTGTTTGTAATTGTATTTTTTTAGAGTGAATGTGAGGAGAGACAGATGCGTAATGAAACGAAACAAACCTGCCTTGTCGAATGCAAACTGAGGATGTTTCAGATGCACTGGCAGTGCCTTAACCCTGCCAACAGGGTGAATAGATAATGTTTTGAGAACTATCTCTTATGCCTTCAAGGGAGCTCTGACATTGATAATTTGAGTTTTGAGTGAAAATAATCTAAAGCTCAGAATATTAAGTCCAGAACATGGATGATATTAAAACGCAGATGTGGACATTTCTTTCTTGAGAAAAAGAAGCTTTATAAGTAGTCCTTGCTCACAACTGCATTATATGACAATAATGTTACTTTGGTGGGTTACGTCCTTTTAAGCAGCATGGATGCACCGATCCGATACTGATCAATTACATATGTACTACACGATGCGACCTGAACATTTGGCTAGGAGAGCAATAGAGGAAGCTTAAAACAAGGGGTCAGCAGTTTGGAGGTATTTCACTCTTGATCAAGCCTGATGTTGCCATACTCATAAAATAATGAATCCCAGTCCTGTTTTAACAGTGAGGAATACAGCTTACTCTCTTATCGGCACTTTGCACTGGTCAGTACTCAGGTACTGGTATCGGGACTGAAAAAGTCAGTGTATCCCTGCTAACAAGCTCCAAGTTTCATTTCAGTACATTCGTGCCTTTGGGAGAACAAACCACAGTATATTGTGTCACCTACTGAAGGCCATGTGATAGACATTAACTTTGGAGCTTTTAGCCCATTGTCTTTTTTACTTCATCATGTACTATTTGTTTAACAAGTCATGCTTTGTGTAAACAAGTCACATGTCATTTCAATCCTGTGTAAGCATCCTCGGTGTGGTGTACACGTGTGCATGTGTGTGTACAGGTGTAGCCAACTCAGGTAGCTCAGGGAAGCAGGTTGAGGGACAGCAGTCACTGCTCACTGTAAGCCCTGCTGCCCCCATAAATCTCCCAACAACTAAGCTAAACAGGTCTAAATTGAGCTGTGAACAAATTGTCGTTTGATCACAGAAAAATGGATAACAGGCAATGCAGCTACATTTTGAACAATTTGCTAAATCTACATGTTTATTTAAGTATTCAGTACAATTAACAGAGTGTGTGTGAACCTTAACAAAATCCAGACCAGTGACCCAGGCTTCTTATTTGTTATAGTCTAAAAGGTGTTAACAATGAGTATACTGAAATAGTCAGTAGTATATAATATATACTACTAGGATATAAGATCTATCACAATCAGGGATCTAACCCAACACACACACACGGTAATCATTAAAGGTTTCCTGAAGGGGGGGGGGGGACAAGTTTCTTGCATTCCCTGACTTGTCTTTGTGTTCTCCATCCACACGACATGTATCACTGCTGCATGCTAATATATATATATATATATGATAGAAATATACCACATTTGAAAAATAATTTCACTGTCAGGACAAAGCAGAAACGAGAGCAGAAAAAGCTGTTATAAATCACAGTGAAACAGGTTTCAGGAATGTGTTTGTGTGTAATTGCTGTGACTGTAGTCCAGCTTTCAGATTTTTCTTTCATCAGGTCTAGTCGGAACTCCAGTGAGTACCACTGCACTTCCATTATGTTGGAGGAGTCACAAGATTTTTAAAAAATGGTCCAAATCGAAGCAGCAGAGGTTGACATATCGTCACTTTTAATTCATACAGCTCCAAAAACACTAGATCCTACATTTCCCATAATGCAACCAAATGCATCATTTCATTAGACCTCTCCCTACAGAAGAGGGAGGGTCTAATTAATAAATACACATATCGTCCAATGTCCACGCCTTAAGCTTTCTGTTAAAGGCTCTGCACACCCAAACAGGTGTTTTCCATAGACAGTATATTACTGGATGAAGCCACCCCGCGGATTTGAATGGAGAACAGTGAAGCCAGTTTGGACCAATAAAATATTACTAAAGGGTTACTTCCTGTTGGCACCAGCGTCTACTGCGCATGATTGCGCTGCATAACCAGGGTTTAGTGACGTAGAGCAACTGCAGAAATACTGTTATTCTGGTAACTGCATAGCTGACTCGGATCATCACTGACTGATCAGCTCACCTATGAGGCTCACCTGCCAAACACCAACGCAGCGTCACTGATGGCTAAATAGTTTTTTAGATTCACTGAGAGTTTATAATCTAAGAAATACAGTTACATCTCTCATGTGCGATGGAATGTCACAAGTTTTCGACGTGATTTTTGGTCCTACATGGAACCGCCCACGCAGGCTTTGGTCGGCTTCACTGTTTCAACTGTGGCTTACCCCACGTGGTGTTTTCAGTCACTCTGGTTGATTAGATCACCTGTCAGGTGTGAGTTGGGTGGAGCTGTGCTGGGAGTAATGTGATGTCATCAAACTATTTGTACCAATCGAATTATATTAGTGTATGTTGTCCCACACTCACAGGCACAACAATACCAGCAGGGGTGTGCATGAGATGTCCATTTAGCGCAGCCCTGAAAAGAGGTCTAATTAGGCAACATAAGTGAAAACATCTGTGTGAGTGGACCCACAGTGTACAGGGGCTTTGAAAATATATTGGCTGTATTTGAAACTCTCTTCTACAAACTACTAGTGACCATTTCATATATGAAATTGTCGGTTTCTAAAGTAAACATTTAGAGGAATATCAATGTAAGTTTCTAATTTGATATTGTGTAAAGAGAACAAGCCTGCAGCTTATCTGTAACCAACTTTATAGCTAGCTGCATTTGTCCTACTAATCATAACAAAGCCATAATGCTTAAGCCTGCTAAGCAAACGTTTGATATCACGAGGACAGCAACGTTAATTTTAGTGAGCTGTCAATAACAACACAACATAACATAAATAAAATAAAATAAAAAAGACCAGTTGTTGTGACCGTTCTAGCGCTTTGAATTATGGGACACAGTACACGAGGTAGACTGGTCTGCATAATGGAGATTTTGAAGTGACATCTGGGTATTTTTAACATAATGCAGATTTGTTTTATGTTTGCAGACTGCACACTACATTATGGCCAAATCAGTATGTACTGCTGGTATAGTAGGCGGTTTCAAATACAGCCACAGTCTCAAACCCCTCCTGTCATCATTAGGGGTTATTTTCTCAGACTTGACAAAACTCCTTCAGACACATAAGACACATGCAACTGTCTTTAGGCTGTTTTGGATAGTATTAAAGTGACAGAAAGAGGATCACACGTGTCAGTGTTGTCTTTGTCCAAAGCACCTTCAAAGCGAGTTTTTGAAATAAATCTCCAATCACAAAATTACCTATGAAAATAAATGATATCTGCAAATTTCAGCTCATTATAATTATCAACTCAAGGCTACTACTGTCACATTACTGCTGTGACATTTAGTCTTTATTTCTCTTATGGATAATTTGCTCCCTCCATACACATGCCCTGTTCATTTGAATACAATTATCAGATACTCCAGTCTGATTAGATTGTATGACTGTGTATTGCCTTGTTTGTTTAACAGCCATTTGTTGGTGAACAGTGCTTTTTCTTTTATTTTGTAACTGGTTGGCTAATTAAATATGTATTTTTCTTTATCTCTTATTTTGTTTGCATGTGTCTTGATTCTTGTTCAAATTCATCCTGGCAATATCACTTGACTTGTGCCATGACTTTTGATCCTACACATTTTGCCATGGTAACCATATCATTCCTGTTCCCCCTCCTCCCCACCCACATCCTCGTCCTCTGTCTTTCGTCTGACTCGCCTGAATAAAAGTTCCCATGATGCACGGTGCCGCCACCTCCACTGTTTCGTCGGCTTCGACCCCAGTCACCAATGTTCCTTTCGCTGAATCTGCCGCCTCGAATCAGGTTTGCTCTTTCATTTCAGTTCTCTTTTATTTTAGCTCTGGAGGTCCTCTTTATAGTCTTCTTTCATCAGGTTAAACAAACACCTGCCTGTAGTGTCACATCTATTATGTTCACATTTCATCTTGTCTTCACTTTTCAGTCTGTTGTGATGTGAGCAAATGAAAACAGAATTTGTTCTGAGAGGAATCTCAGAATAGGTAACTGTTTTCATCTAAATGTCATAGTTTGGTGTAGAACCACTGTCTGACTCAGTCTTCTATGTCATTTATTGACATACAGTATGTGGTCTGGCATCGGCAACAACCCTGCTATAATTGAAATGCTTTTCCTCCTCTTTCTGCCATTGGGACACATTTCACGGTAAAATTCTCCAAATAGCAAGGGTGTATACATTGCGATATGTTTGTATTATTTGTATTTACTTTAAGGAGTTTAAGGAACCACCAATTTAATTACAGCATGGAGAGTTTTACTGTCCAATTCTGTTCTGAATGTTTTATTTTTTGTATCTTGAATAAAGAATGGACTGTAGAAGGAAAATCTATTTTTTTAAATGTAGTTATAATATGGCTGTGACAATGAAAGTAACAAATTTGTTGTAATTGCACCTTGACCACTTGCTGTGATAGTTATTTGAAAAAGAAAATTAAGTTTCGACTCAGTTCTTAAACTCTATTATTTAAAACATAAATATTTTGCACACTAACTTAATCATACTGGATCCTCTACTGCAGGTTACTGTTTTGGTCTTTCACTGCACCTCCTTTCACCCCTTCCTTTCTGTCTTCCAGTAGACCCCTCAGAGCTTCTCACTCCCGATCCAGTGGAGCTCCAATGCGTTCCAATGGAAACCCATTTCTGTCCCGTCCCCAAACTGCTGATGGCGGCTCCAATGGCGCTAAACTCAGTAAGCCTTTCCCGAAATCCCAGTTAAAGTCCCTAAAACCTGCACGCTACTGGGGCAGTCATCCTCCTGAATGCAGCAAACATGTGCCTCACCTACAGTGCACACTGACTGAGTGGCAATGTGAAACTTCTTATACGATGTTATGAAAGTAAGAAAGCTGTGATGGTTTCACGCAATACAAGCCTGGACGTATTACTGTTGCTTTAAAGCAGCCATCCTGATGCATAGTGACTTGATCAGGCTGAGCAATAGAGCTCCCTCGTTCTTACAGCCATACATGCCCACACCTTAAAAGCGCAACAGATGTGCACACAAACACACACACACACACACACATTTAAGACTAAATACCCTTTATGGGTTGGAGCCATCTTATGAGGCGACCCAACACATTTGACTGTTCCAAAGTCAGAAACTCTGAAAAGCTAATTCTGGAAATTCAGACCACTGGAGCGGGATACGGACCTGCCTCTGGTCTACAACCATAATATGTTGTCACAATGAAGAGTGTTTCATATCATGTCATGTTTACGTTTCAAGATGGCTACAAATGTAACATGTGTGTTGTACCATGTGGTCCATTCAATTTGTTCTCATGGTCTCATCTTTGCCCAATGAAACGTAGATGAGTTGTTGTTCATTTGTTTGTGCCTTTGATTGTTTGCTCAGCTGCAGAGGAGACTTAGTTTCCCAAAAGAATTCAAGACACTTGACAGCAAATATTGACAGACATTGTTATTTGCAATTAATGGCATTATCTGTGAGAAAAAAATACAGCGTATTTGCCCATGGCTCCTATTGTAAAGAAAGGGTACTTGTCTAAAAACTGAATAGGAAGTTTTTTTTGCCTGCAACTAACAATTATTTTCATTGTCGATTAATCTGTTCATTATTTTCTTGATTAATCGATTAGTTGTTTGGTATATAAAATGTCAGAAAATGGTGAAAAATGTCAATTTCCCAAAGAATAAGATGACGTCGTAGATATTCAGTTTACTGTCAAAGAGAAGTAAAAAAAATGAGAAAATGTTCACATTTAAAAAGCTGGAATCTTTAACTGATTATCAAAATAGTTTGCGATTAATTTAATAGTTGACAACTAATCGATTAATCTTTGCAGCTGTAGATTTTTGTCCTGTTTCCTCCATGATTTGATATCCAAACATGGCAATCTACAGGCGTCGTCATGTTCACTTCTTATCTCAACGACAAGTCCTGGCCTCAGCCACAAACCCTGATTTCTTGTGTTCAACTCACCTGAAATCACAATAAAGATGAACCGATTTATTCTGATATTTCTATCTTATTGGCGTGTCTTAAACTGTCACACCTGATGTCAGAGCTATTGCACAAGATGGAAGCTGGGTTTGTTTCCTGATGTTGTGCCTGAAGTCTGTGTGTGCCAAGTGGTGGTATATGCAAGGAGCTGCCCCCATTTAACGCAACACCGGAATAATTCCTCCAAATAAATGTCTCCCTCTAAAATGCAGAGATGTAGTTAAGAAAGGCAGTTTGTTTGTGTGATTGTCTACTTTAATATGGCTTTTGGAGTGAATAAGTGGCACAAGACTTTTATGTTTAATAGGTCTTCAGGGAGAAAGCTTAGAACTTGAAAATGTCCTGTCTGACTTTATAATGTGTCGTCTTTTCTACTGATATGCCCTCTGAATATGGCAGCCACAGTTGGTATAACCAAAACTGAGTTATGGTAAAGTCAGAAGATGGAGGAATAAATCACCCGTTTGATGTCTGACGTTAAAATAAATTACAAACCAGTTGGATTTTTGGTTTCCAAATGTCCGGAAGGAATTGCTCTGTAGGCGTGTAAAATTGAACGTAAGAGCTTTAGAAACTGGGCTGAAATCACTTTTATCCAAATTCAAATGTGCCTCTTTCAAGTCTCCTCAAACCACCACTGTCATTACACTGTAAGAACAGACCAGTGCTCAAGATGATAGAAGTGTTATTTGGTACATTATTATAACAGTAAATCACATCTGTACTAGTTTCTTCTTCGAGACAGCTGCGCTGTCTTATTGTTTATGTAAAGAAATAAATCAGTGAGTTGTGTGTATCATAAGTGTGTTCAAAGAGACAATGAACCACACATTTGGTTAGTTGTAAATGCTACAGATATTACAGCATTTCCCACTGAGCATTATTCATTTTAAATAATGTTATTGTGTTGTGAATGTATCTAATGCAAAAACTCTATACAAGCCCGTCTAAAAGACAGGCATGTTGAAATGTAATGATTAACTATATATAGACTCTTTCTGAGGTCACATAAGTACCATGCTGAAACGGTGTTAAGACATATTAAAGTATGTGTATTGTTATATAGATTTATATTTAATGTCAGTGGGTGATGTGACTACTTTTAAAAAATTTCACTCTCAGAAAAGGTAGAGGAGAATTGTACTTATTGAAGTACAAATGTACAACGTACAAGTACATTACTGTACCATTCCTTGCTAGTCAGTTTTTATACCCCTAGCTTTGAAAGTACCCAAAGTGCCCAAAATGCACCTATAAAGAATGGTATAATCATTGGACAAAATTGAGAAAATCTGCACGCTATCCTTTATAGTATTTTTTTTTTCATTTTTAACATGATCCCTCACCAGCTTCCCAGCCATTGACACTGCCAACAGTGTTCAATAGGGGCAAGTTAGAAGCACCAATTACTGGGATTGACCGGGGTTTAGGTGGGTGAATGTTTTTTACACCTTACCACCTGGGCGCTGCAGTAAGTGTGCTACCTTAACTGTAGCAATTGTACCTTAAGTTCACATTAAATTGGTATATGGTACACTTACGCAATGTCTTTCCAAATTAGAATATACTGTAATTAGAAATAAGATTGACAGAGGTGTGTGACTTAGCATAAAGACTGGAAACGGGGAAATAGCTACCCTGGAACTGTCTAAAAGTGTCAAAATCATCATCAATGTTGATAAATGATTCGAACATCCCGGAAAGTTCACGCACAACTCTGCACATCACCAGCGCAGCTGGTGCTCTGTCTCTGTCCCACTCCTGCCACACACACACACACACACACACACACACACACACACTACGCCATGCATGCGCACTGTCGCCCCCTACCTTAAGGTGACAGTTTTGGATTTACTAAAATTAAAAGCTTTTCTCGTGTTTATTTACAGGATTATATGTTGATATTTATATCATAATGTATATTAACTTATTGGGAGAAAACCGCTAGGCCTATGTAAAATTAGAGATTGTGCACCACCATATAGCCCAAATGGTGTGACAGCTCTGCGAGGATTTGACTGTGAGATTGGGAGTCTAGTCAGGCTCCTCCTATCGAATCTTCCACTATTCGGGGTCACCCCTAGTCTAGAGTCACTCTATTAATTTTCGCATCTGAAAAATGTGGAGCATTGCAATGTGGGATTGTTAGTAGAAACTAGTGTATATGCCAATACTTTTTTCCATTGTAGAATTTTTGAGAGCACTATGTCGTGGATACATTTAATTTTTGTAACTCCCACTTAAAAACACAAGTAGTCGTTTTTACAATTTGGTTTTTAAATATAAAATACAAAATATATTGAATTTACCTTTAGACTATAGCTTAATTGTCTCAAACCTAGTTTGTTATTTCTGCACTGCAATTCCTTGTTATTTATCTGCCAACATTTACACCAATATATTTGCAAAATGATAATATTAACAGATTTATCTGTCTTGCTTTTCTTTGGACTAGCCTTTTCCCCGTTTCCAATCTTTATGTTAAGCTAACTGTCCCCTGGTTCAAGCGTCATATGTACTGTACAGACATGAGAGTGAGATCAAACTTCTCATCTAACCCTTGAAAGGAATTGAATAAGTTTCCCAAAATGCTGAAGTATTTGTTTAAACTATAATTTATTTTTTATCTAGCCTTCATTGCAGATCAAACAGTACGTTATTGTACATCTAAAGAAATTTACTTTTTGGTACAGAGTTTCCCCATTACCTGTTTTTAAGTGTATTGAGCAGCTAGATTTTCTCTAATCTTTTAAAAATTTGAACAGTAATGTTCCTCTCCTGCTCGATGAAACTGATGATTAGAACGTCCAGAAAGATAAGTTTTTCTAAATCTTAAGCTTTGAAAGACTAGCTTTGTCCAGCCAAGACAAAGAAAAAAAGTCCCTGTAGCCTTCGTCTCCTTCCCCATCACATCATTATGCCTTCATTAACTTCTGTCCAGCTGGAAAAAAACAGAATACTTGATAAATAAATTGTGCCTCTTGAGGGCATTTGAATTTTAAAGTACATTTAGATGTATGTATCGACGCACAAGGCCGTTGTAGTTAGGGGAATTGCGGTGTGGTGCGAGGAAAACATGTTTTTACCTCTTTCCCTCTAACTCTGTGGTACTTGATTTCCTTTAGGCCTCATTGTATTTTTCCCATACGTCATTTCTCTGGAATATGCAAAATGCTCTGATCATTGTGTCCAGTGACCAGATCCTTTAGCATGTGGACAGTAAATTCAGTCCTGAGCATACTTCTGTTGCCCGGGGCACAAACAAAGGGCCTTATTTCTCGATCACTGTATAAAGATGTGATAGCTGTGTATGAAAGTGACATGTACTAATGGTAAGTTAAACTTTTTTTTATCTGACTTAAAAAAAAAAAAACACAGCATGGAAATAAAAAACTCATTTATACATAGTTAATAGTTTGTGTAGACCAACAAGAAAAAAAGATATAATATTAAAATCATTTGTATACAATGATGGAGTCATTGTTAATGGTAATAGTTGCCGTTGCTGTGGCAACAAAATGACAACATGGCTACCTTTCTATTATCCTAATTGTGATTTTTTTCACATTCATTGAAATAACATACAACACTAACTTATTCAAAAAGGGAATGTCTAATTAGTTTGTCTTGTTATTGCGACGTGATTAAATATTTTCTATGGAAAACTTAAATCCTTGTAATATCCAAAGGTCCTTAGGGGAGATCAGGTGTTTAGTTTGTTTTGTTTATTTGACCTTAATTGTTTGTTTTTTGTTCATGTACATGGTATTTTTGAGAAATAAGAATGGACTTTGGCTTTTAAAGCTAACACCTATCTGTCAGGGAGGTAAAGAGGCTTTTGGACTAATTGAAAGATCTTCATCTTTTTCTGTAAAATCAAACTCGTCGCTGTCCACCTCCTGCAGACTGGGCAGCCCTCACTCAGTTTTCTCTGTGTGGAGACGTGAGCTTTCATTAGTGAGTTCTGTTTTTTCAGTTTTGGCCAAGAAGGTGGTCCAAAAGCCTCTTCCTGCCCAGCTGTGCTGGGTGATGTCGATCCTTGCTGAGGTGTATACGAATGTGTGACGTTCACCTTGTTTGCACTTATGTACATAACTATGTCAAAATACTCAAAATTTATTTTGAATAAATACAGATAAAAGAGTTCAAATCAATGTTATTGCTAATGATATGAGTATGTCTATCATTTTATTACATTATAAAAAGATTGCTTTGAGGGATCTGTCCTTTTGTTTGTTTGCTGGAGCCCTGTTCTTTGCCAAGCATGACATTGCCTAGCTATGAATGAATGAACCATGAATGGTTTGCTTTTAAAAAAGCTTCTTCTGTTCATTTACTGGGGTATTTTTGTTTCAGTAATATCTCAAACAAGAGAGGTGGACTAGAAGAAATAGTCAGTCTGGAATATATCTAATAAACCAGTACTGACCTTCTGCTTTAATGCTCATCATGAATACACAAATGCAGGTGCATTCCTCTCTCCAGTAATGCACCAAAATAAAGCACAGAGTAGCTCCACCTGTAGGCTGAAAAGCAGTTAGGAAAAAAAGAGGAGCAGAGAGACTATAGAGGGATGTGGATGTGACATGTGTTCACAGGGTTTGAATTCACTTTAATTTAGTTTTTTGTGAAAAGGGTTATTATTTGCTCCCTTGTTGTCATTATTCAAAACAACAATAAATCTGAATTCTCCTCAGGATTTTAGTTAAAATTGCAAACAACTGGGTTTTCCAATGCTATTCTTGCAGCAGCAGCAACGTCCTTACACAACAACGTCCCTTCAGATTTGGACATGTGATGCTCTTCAATTGCTATTAAAGCCATTGATTTTGTTGCCATGGCACTTGTCCTAGTGGTGGATTGACTGAGTCATCCTGGTGAAAAGATTCACAGCCCTCTGACTCCACATGTGGAGGGAAAGTACATGTGGAGTGGACTTAACATACTGTGGGTTTCCAGTCACCAACATTTTGTTTTGAAATTGATTTATTGCCACCCTTATTTTTAAAAGAAATGCATTTGTAATTGTGCCTTTATCATGCAATGTGTAGTTTTCCTTTATTAAATTTAAATTGACTTAAAACAGCACGTGTATTAAGTGTGTGTAAAACTTATCCCTTTATTTAAAATCCTTTGTTGGTGAGTCGTTATTAAATTGGGTACAACCGCAGACTGAATGGCAACCTGTGGGAGATGATGAGGGCCAAAGACTGTTCAGGACTAAGCCATATGAAAAACTCTCTCTGACACTCTAGGACAGACTTGAAAGTGACTGCTGTTTCTTAGTCATCTATCGTTTCACTCTGTTTTCTGCTTGTGGTACTTGTATGTGCTGCTGTGCTACACGCCAATTTATTTTGCAGTGTATAGCTATTAAGAGTATGTTTCTGTGCCTATGATGAGTTCTGCGATTTCTGTTTGACCTTTAATAAAACACATAACTGTGATCTTCTTGTAGTGTGTTTTGTTCATTATCTTTTTGTGTCACATTTGAAGAGACATTTATCACAGGCTTTAACCTGTGTATTACTTTATGATAGGTATATGAATGAATGTTAGATTTACTGTTGAAGAGATGGATATCTCACTAACAGACTTGAAATATTGCGTAAGAAACTGCAGTTATACTCAGCTAAAACAAGTGTTTTGATTATTACTATTACTAAAAAGGTGTAGGCAATACTAACACCGTGGAGGACTTTCCACTATACAATGTTTAGTTTAGATCATGGCCTTCGCATATCAGACAAAATCAAACTTGATTAATAAAAGTATTTATTTTTCAAGCATAATGTGCTGAACAGAAAACCAAAAGCAAAAAACATACCAACTTCAAAAATGCATATTTCATAAATTTTGTAGAGTAACTTAATAACAGGTTGAAAATTAGTGTTTCACTGGTCTCTGTTCAGAGTTTTAAGTCTACTGCATCTGTAACCACACTCAACTGTGATGTGACTGTGTAGTCACACTGAAATTTCTTCTATGTCTGTAGCAGGGTGTGAGGAGGAGGATAGTAATAAATAAGATTTTCAGCTGGTGTTAGAATGAGGGTTATTTCAATTGAAATGTAATTTAATTCACTTAATTTTAGTTTAGAACATTTTTGCTTTCATAAATGAGGTATAGGTTGAATCACTAACAATTGTTAGGCAATACAGAGTTTAAAATATGTCTTTTATTATTCATTAATATAGTAATAGATTATTGTTCTGCCTTGATTTATTAGTGCCAGTGGAGATACAGATAGGAAACATGGAGAGAGAGAGGATTCCTATGGCAACAAAGTTTCCCCAGCCAAAATCAGACCTGGGACAGTGAAGGTACATGGTATGCGCATTAAAGGGAGAGTAAGTGATTCTGCAGGATTGTGTGCCAATGTGTAGAACTCTCTCTGCCCCCTTCCCCCCAGCACTCCTGTGCATGAGCACTAATGCCACTTTTTGCTGATTGGCTGGAACAATGTTGTGTGGCAAGGTCCACACAAATGTTTTCCATTTACAGAGCCAGGGCTGTGTAGGAAAACCAGATTTTTTTTCCAGAGCTGTGAGGAAATATTTGCAATAAATCGAACATTTATGAAATGCAATTGAATAATTAAAAAACAACTATTATCATGCAGTATTAGGATTACTCAGGGCAATAATGGGGGGAGGGTCCATGAAAAGTCTGGAATGAAAAGTTTGTTTTTGTTTGCAATGTGTTATTTCTAAGAAAGTAGTCTCATATCTAAATTAAAACTGATGAATAAATCAGTTGAGAGACTTAACTTTGTAACCCCTAAAAAAAATAGTGGCGGCTCTGAGGCCCCTTTCACCCTTTTACAAAAGGTGCAAAATATACCTTGACACATATTTGCATTGTAGGCTAGAACATAAATTATCAGCAACATAAATTAAACTTTCTAAAGTTTGAATTATTTTTCTTTTAGACCTAAATGCCTTTGAACCACTTACTTAAACTGTGGGCTTGGACACAAAGATAGATTAAATGTACTGAAAATGTAAATACAGCAATGTAACAGTTAAAGCCTAGCATTTATTTGAAAGCTGATTCTTTTTGTCTTGTTTCTGCAAATGAAACACAACTGTAGTGAAGTCTTGTTCAGTTGTCTTTTATTATGCAGTATAGTAAGCATTTTCTCAGTGAAGGGGTTAGACAACTAAGGTAGCAATTTTCATCTTTGACTTAATCCTTGGGAATGATTAATACTTCAATAAACATGAAGAAAATAATCTCTTAAGCATACTCCAAGCAAACCTCATTTAACAATAGTAAAGTAATGGTAGGATACAGTATGTTGAGAAAAGAGGGTTGAAATTACTTGTTTAAATGTGGTATAAACAGTTCATTAGTGACTACCCTAATCACCACTACAGTTTAATGTGTACAGGTTTTATATACAGTCTATGGTACAGTTGTTAGCTCAATTATTTGCAAAAAGTTTTTAAAAATGCATGAGAGACAGGCACGAAGAGAGGAAGGGGGCCACAGAGACTGCTTATGTGTAGGGCCCAGAATTTTGTGCAACGCTTCTGGATAGGAGAGATGTTTGTAGCTCCTGTTAAGCTTTTCCACTATTTAGAGCCTTAGAGCTCATTGCTGTTGAAAAGAGGCTTTTATTGTGAAAACCTTCGCACCGGACGTCTTGTTGTCCTTAGCGGAAACGAGCCTGTTAGCTTCAGGAAATCAGTAGGAGGAAAAAGCTTTCCTTTCTGTAATCAAACCTGTTCAGCACTGAGTCTAACCTATATCGGCGCAGCAACAAACTGCAGCCAATGGACCCTCGGATTATAATATTGAATCTGCGGTTTGTTCATCGATAGTACGCCCGGTTGCCGAGACGCCGGGCTGGGCCGGAACCAGAACCAGGCCCGGACGGACGGACGGACATAACCAGCGACACCGGCGGGCTGGTGTGTGTCTGTGGGAGTTGGCATGCTCTCTGTAGGGGAAGTGTAATCACCGTGACTTGCTGTCTGTAGCTAACTTAGACAGCAAGTTCTCCGATGAGTCCCCGGTACTTCATCAGATCGGGTGTGAAGGCTTGAGGCTCGAGCATGGCACAGAGCTAACGTTAGCTAACGCCAGAGTCAACGGACATCAACTTTTACTCGCTAACTACCAAGGCAACGTAAGAAAAAACAACGAGTATGAGCGCCACACCTGGGTTTGTGTGAACGAGGAGTCATTGTATATCACCGAACATTTGCCAGCTCGCTTGTTAGCTCTTTAAAAGGCCGGATAAATGTTTCTGGAGCGAGTATAGCGGTGTAGCTAAGTCATTAGCAGCTGTTAGCCTGCCTCGACCGCCCCAATGAAAGAATACAAAGTGGTCGTGCTGGGCAGCGGTGGCGTCGGTAAGTCCGCGTTGACCGTCCAGTTTGTCACCGGCACCTTCATCGAGAAATACGACCCGACCATCGAGGACTTTTACCGAAAGGAGATTGAGGTTGACTCGTCTCCTTCCGTGCTGGAGATTCTCGACACGGCGGGGACGGAGCAGTTCGCCTCCATGAGAGATCTGTACATAAAGAACGGACAGGGGTTCATCCTGGTCTACAGCCTGGTCAACCAGCAGTCATTCCAGGTACCTGATGTCACCGTGCACACCTTAAAACCACACACAGGTGCAAACTGTTCATAGCCAGGTAGTTAATCAGGGCATTTAGACACACGACGCTGGGTGTGATTCATGAAGCGAGTGCTGCCCTACACCATCCACATTTTACTTTATTATTCAAAGACGGAAATAAATGTGGATGCAAAAATGTAACCTGGTGACATTCATTTGAAACCAGTGGTGCTGTAGAAAACTTGGTGAATTGGCTGTGTTCTGTGGTACCCTGTTGTATTGCAAAACACAATTGACTATACGCAGCAATGTATTTCTAGCACAAGAGAAAAAAATGCCTGAAACTTGGGAAAATAATTCTTAAAAGCAACAATCAATGCTTTATTGAATGCATAGTGAATACACTGGCAATAAAGCGTTCTGTATTTAAGCAATTTTATAGACACTAGACAAGAAACATTGTTCATGGAATGGAGACTGGAAAAAAAAATTCTTTTCTAAAATCTCCCATTAGCTGTTTCACCACCATACTTGATGATTTGAACTTTAAACATCAACTACTTTTAAGCATGCATACCTGTGCATACTCTAAATATACCTAATATTCTCACTTTTCTAGTGTGAACACTGCATATTGATAATCTGTTAAATTGTAAGGATACTATATTGACATACTGATTATTTCTTATCAGTGCTACAAACTGCCTGTGGTTTTCATGAGAAACCACACCCTCATTTTCTCCCTCTTCATCTTTCAGGACATCAGACCAATGCGAGACCAAATAGTGCGAGTGAAGCGCTTTGAGAAGGTGCCGTTGATCCTGGTCGGGAACAAAGTCGACCTGGAGTCTGAGCGTGAGGTGGCTGGGTCAGATGGACGAGCTCTGGCTCAAGAGTGGGGCTGCCCTTTTATTGAAACTTCTGCCAAGAGCAAGACTATGGTGGACGAGCTGTTCGCAGAGATCGTCCGACAGATGAATTATTCCACGCTGCCGGAGAAGCAGGAGCAGTGCTGCACAGCCTGTGTGGTACAGTGAGGAAAAGGTACAATCACTGCCATTCCTTGTTTTCCTTTGCATGGTGGCGTTCATATTTGTGCCGTGCTAAAAAGCTCTCAAGCACAGTACAGTTGGCTGCTCACTAAATTTACAAAATGTGATAAAATGTCCCAGCAGTGCCTGTGTAAAAATGGTTCACAAGCTTAGGAGAAATGTGACACATGGATGACTGTGTGGCGTTTCAGTGCAGTGTACGGGAGAGGTTCAGCTGGAAGTGAGAAAGACGAGTGGGCGGTGCTGCTCCATGTAAATCGTTGTTTTAGCTTGTTATCATAAGATCGCAGAAAGTATGTGGCATGAAGAACGCAACTGTACGAACAGCTCAGGGGCTAGGAGGGAAAAGACCCTGAAGAGTAGAGACTAGTGAAGCGGATGGTCCTTTGAGCCAAGCTGTAGAAAGAGGAAAATGTGACATCCTGAAAAAGAAAATTACGTTCCAAAACAGGAAGTTCACTTTAGATTCTGTGACAGATGTTGCCTGTGTTAACCATTGCCACACAGATGCATACTGCAAATCACAGTTGTAGCTGTTTAATCTTGTATTAAATATGCTGTTTATTTTTCTCTCTCTCTTTTTTTTTTATTTATTTTTTTTTTATAGATACATCCCTTATCTGGGTCACCACAAGGATTTTGATGAACCATGAACCCGGGGACGACCTGACTTTTGATCCAACACACAAAAACTTACCACAGTTGGTAAAGTTTCTGTTTTAAGGCGGTTTTTGACTGTCTGTCACAGAGCTTCTGACAGGAAAGACGTCAGTCCTATTTTTGATATCATATGTGTTAGAAGACATTTCTGCTGCAACCTTAACGGCCTTTGCAATGACCCGGGATGGAGTCAGACAGACTTTAAATAAGCAAGAACGGCCATCTGTGAATTTCACCCCCCCCCTTTTTTTTTTTTGTCGGACGTGAAATAATAAGCAGGAGTGTTTGTGAGGTTACAGCGTCTTTTTAAAGCTGCTTTAATCACTATTATATACTTTTATTATTACTTGTATTATGTCTCTCAAGTTTGGAATTTGACAAAGTATTTCATAATATTGAAACATTTTGACTTTTAAGCATGCATACATTGACCAGTTTGCTGCCCAGGTATACTGCTCTCTTTATTTTGAACTGACACAAACTACAGCAGTGTTTACTGTGACTTTTTTTTTAGCTTGAGGAAACTTGGACAGGATGTGCGACTTTGTGTGTTAAACCTGTAACATTTACATCAAGTCACTTGATCCACCAATCCGCTTTGCTGCCCTGTGCTTCAAGCATTTATCTTTTTATCACCGCAGTAGCCTGAAGCAGCTAAACTCACCTGACAGAATGCATGCTCGAAATTGAAAATGTTCTACTAAATCAACTTGAGGTGATAAGGAAGAGTCATTTTACTGTTTTTAGCCTGAATCCTGTCAAAATTTCTAAGGCATTTATCGCTTGGACGCAGGTCTTCCATTTTCAGTTTTCTCGAGGAGTCTCTGTGGGAGAATGATTTTGGAACGACCAAAGGAAGCTCACAGTGCATATTTGTGTTTGACTACATGACGTGTGTTGCTTAACATTCAGGAGACGCTGATTTCTTGTCATCAATAACTCCCGCTACGATGTGGTTTGATAAAAGTTCTGGCACAGTTAATCAGATTTAACTTTGTATTTTTCTTTTTCTTATAGTAACCTATTTATTAAAAACTAATGACATGGGTAGCCAGTTTTAAACTTTTGATTTTATACTAGTTTTTCGCTTTTTGTGACTTTTCAGGATAAATGGTACATTGTTTTTTGAAGTTGAGGATTTAACAGAGCCTTAAATAATTTCTGTCTCACCTTGGTCTCATGTTTCTTTCTTTTCCTCAAAGATAAACAGCCGTCGTTATTTGGTAATAAACTTGCTGGCCTTTCTGCCTTTGTCATGGGGCTCTGTTGCAGTATTATCTTTGAATGATACACAACCGGTTCTGTGTGACCAGTGTTAGTTTTCCTCCTGCTGACCTCGATCAGATCAATTCGCAGAAAAGAGTAGTGAAGGAAGCCAAGATTAAGTTTTCCCACTGATCATGTGCAATGTCTCTGTTCGCTCCAGTTTGGGAATCATTCCTCTGTAGCAGTGGTTCTCAAACTTTTTCTGTCACGCCCCCTTTCAGAAACTGAAGTTCATGCCCCCCCACTCCCGCAAAAGTGAACTTTTTATTAATCATGAATAATTCAGAAAATGAAAGTAGGTTAGCAACATATCCTTGCTAGCATCAGAGTAAACAATTTTGCAAATGTTACTGCATGAATCATATTCATGCAATTTTAGGATTGCTCAACATCCACTCCCCCCTGCAGTGGCTCCATGCCATCCCAGCGAGGCCCACCCTACTTTGACAACCGCTGCTCTATAGAAACAGAGACTTTGGTGATTATTTTGTAATTTAAATGAAATTGGCCTGCTGGCACTTAGCCTAACCTGGTCATGCTAATATGAAAGATGTAAACCTTTGAGTTAAAGCCGCTATCATTGATATATTTAACGCTGTGAGGATATTTTTATAATAACAATGTATCGTAGTGATGAGCGTACAGAAAATTATCACCTGGATCAACAGCTGCCCTCTGCTTTATGGAGCTTTTATAGTGAGTTTTACCTCATTGTTCTTTACGGTTTTGGTTCACTCTGCTCTAAAACTCCACTGTGCACTACCTGCTCAGCACCAGCTGGACACAGTTAGTGACCAACAGCTTAACATGGTGGAGCATTTAGCAGCTGAAGAGACATATTTCACTCAGGAGTTGGTAAAGACAAAACAGCACTAACAAAGAGTAAATATTGGTATTAGATTCATCATTTGGCCAGAAACATGACTCCAAATAAATATTAATGTTGCTCTGTAACTTCTGAATGTGTAAATAAGCAGCTGTTTTCTTTTCCTTTTGGGGCACCTGTTTGCTTCTTTCAACAGAAGACTCACGCCCATGTGTAGGATGAGTGTTTGTTGATGTAATTGATCCTCTTGTCCATGTTGGCCTCAAGGAGATCCCTTCATAATTGCAGTTTAAGTGATGGGGGACAAAATCCACAGTCCTCTTTCTGTGTTAATATTATAAAGTTATGAGGCTTCAGCAGTCAGAGTTGCACAAATCAAGACAATCTGTCAATGTTTTTGTCTTTTAGTGAGAAATCCACTCTCTTTCCCGGCACAGTGTTTTCCTCTTGAGTGACACGAACGCGCCAAAGCTTTAACTTACATAAAAATCACAATATGAAGTGATCAAGTACAGCGACCAGTAACTCTTTCAGTGTGGTCATGTTGTATTGTTTTAAGCAGCCTGCTTTTTACTAAAATCTTTAAAACGGTTTGCGTTCTCCAGCCCACACTTCAGCTTTCTGTTTTGTTTGAAATATAGTTTATTTTAAAGTAAGTCTGCCATATGTGGACTAGTGTGACCCCTCATAATATGTGACATTTCTGGTCTGACGAAGAGGAAACAAGGAGTTAAATCTTTTTCTGAAGCCACATTGTCTAAAAATACCAACTCTCAGAAACAAGCTACACTTTCCACTACCTCGTGTGTGTGTGCGCATGCTTGTGTGTTTTCCTGCACCAGACTGGCAGAGTACAGTCGTGTTTTTATTCTTGCATTTGTCACACTTGGTACTGCTGTAGTTTTCACATCCCACGGAGCACAACGCTGGCTCTTCTTCCTCTCGCTCTGCGGTTGTCAGGTGGAGCTGCTGGGTGCTCGCTGAGCCTGTGCATCCTTCACTGAGCTGGCAGCAGGTGCTGTGTGAAGGGGGTGCTGACGTCTCTGAATCAGCGGGGTCACAGCAGCTCCTCCGAGCTCCTTGAGGGAAAATAAGCTCATTTTTTGAATGTCTTGTCCTGGTTCCTGCTGGTTTTTTCCTCCGTCTACACCACAAGAGAGTTGTAGGCATCTTCAAACAAAAACATGCCACTGGGCTGTCTGCTGCCTGTGGTGTACAGTACCAAGCTGCAGTAAAACAAATTCATCTTACACAAAAACATGATTATAACTAAGAAATTAAGGAATTTGTTTAGATTGTAGCTTGGGGTAATTCTTCCCTGGTCATCACAATGTGTAGTATATAAATACACCAAATTACATACTGTTGAAGTAAGAAGTTTACATACACCGTAGCCAAATATATTTAAACTCAGTTTTTCACAATCCTTCACGTTTAATCCTAGTAAACATCCCCTGTCTTAGGTTTAGGATCACTACTTTTATTTATTTATTTTTTTAAGAATGTGAAATGTCAGAATAATAGTAGAAGAGAGAATGATTTATTTCAACTTATTTCTCTCATCACATTCCTAATGAGTCAGATGTTTACATATACTTAGTATTTGGTTGTATTGCTTTAAATAGTTGGGTCACTTGGTAACTTGGGTCAAATGTTTCAGGTAGCACAAACTTCTCACAATAAGTTGCTGCAAATTTGGTCCATTCCTCCTGACAGAGCTGGTGTAACTGAGTCAGGTTTGTAGGCCTCGTGCACAGTTTTTCAGTTTGGCGCACAAAAATTCAGTAGTATTAAAGTCAGGTCTTTTTGACGGCCACTCCACTACCTTGACTTTTTTTGTCTTTAAGCCTTAAGAATGCTTGGGGTCATTGTCCATTTGGAAGACCTATTTGCGACCAAGCTTTAACTTCCTGGCTGATGTCTTAAGATGTTGCTTCAGAATATCCACATCATTTTCCATCTATGTTGTGAAGTGCACCAATCCCTTCTGCAGCAAAGCACCACACAACATGATGTCGACACCTCCGCTTTTCACGTTCAGGATGGTGTTCTTTGGCTTACAAGCCTGACTTTTTTTTTTTTCCCTCCATACATAATGATGATTGCCAAACAGTTCTGTTTTTGTTTGATCAGACCAGAGGATAATTCTCCAGAAAGCAAGACCTTTGTCCCCATGTGCAGTTGCAAGCCATAGTCTGGCTTTTTTATGGCGGTTTTGGAGCAGTGGCTTCTCCCTTGCCAAGCTGCTTTTTAATTTATGTTTTATTGTGGATATACATACTGTTGTATCTGTTTCCTCCAGCATCTTCACAATTTCCTTCGCTGTTCTGGGATTTATTCACGCAACAAATTATGTTGCTCTCCCCTCCAATTAACTCAAAGGATGCCAATTAACCTATAAGAAGCTTATAAAGCCGTGACATGATTTTCTGGAATTTCCTAAGCTGTTTAAATGTACAGTCAGCTTAGTGTATGTAAACCTCTGACCCACTGAAAGTATGATATAGTGAACTATAAGTGAAATACTCTGAACAGTTGTTGGAAAAATGACTCTTGTCACGCACAAAGTAGATGTCCTAATAGACTTGCCCAAACGATAGTTTGCCCGGATGAAATCTGTGGAGTGGTTAAAATATGAGTTTTAATGACTTCAGCTTAAGTGTATATAAACCTTCAACTGTAGAAATTTGGTGTGTTTATTTTGGGATTGATTAATTCAGTTGTAAGACATTTTATTAATTCCTGTTTTATTATCCAGTTAGATCAGTTAATGAATGCTTCCTAACTGTTTCACACTTGTGGTCCTCCACATATTAGCAAGGTTTTGGTGATTTGCAGGTTAAAGAAGGTTGAATTGAATTTGGTTGACAAGACACCATTGTTACGTATAATATATATCATATAATTTTAACATGAACACTGTTGGGTAGGTTAACTGAGAGCAATTCATTGCATTTTATAAGCTCATTGTAGGTTTTGTGTTTCAAAGTTTCATGTAAAGTAACTAAAAACTACATACACAATATGAGACGCTGGGGTGACATATTAGCCCAGGAAATTGATCTGTGAGGAAAAAGATTTGTGGTTAACTGAACCCTGGGCCGGTTCACGTCCTAAATTACCAACAGTCCGGTCACGTTGTGCACAATTATTCTTTTCCAGGAGCTCTGGATACCAACCAGTTCTCCTTTGCTGGAATACTTTCTGGCTCCGGGTCTGCTTTGTGTCAGTTAGTGTGGTCCTTTGATTAAACACAAATTCATCTAGGAATATCGACCACATGAGCACAATATCACCTTAAATAGTAATGACCTTTAAACTAGAATTCAAAGGGCCTTAAGACTGCAGAAATCACAAGTAATGACACAGTGAACCTTTACCAGATGGCTAATCCAACCTTACCCCCAGCCACTGTCTTACTTAGTCATACTTTCAATATAATGGTGCATAAATTCAGTACTTCATCCTGTTACAGATATAAACTAACTGCGTTGGTATACTTTTCATGTAAGTATCGTGGGAACTGGGGAAGGCAACAACAAGAGGAGCGGCCGATGGCATACTGTTTACAAGTCAGTTTTAAGTTACTCTTAATGTAATTACACACAGAATTTACAGGAAGATAGAAACACATGTACAGCTAAAAACAAGGGCAGCCGAGACAAAAAAAACTACACATAGAGCTACTATGTACATACTGTGCAAGTAGGTGAAAAAAATCTATAAATTTATATAAAAAGCAACAGTGACAAACAACATACAGTGTCTCTCTCTATATGTATTACTGATGTATTTTTCAGTGAGATCTAGTCACCAGTTAGGTTTTTTTTGTTTTTTTAATATATATTTTTAACCATAAAGTGAAACGAAATGTCACTTCAGTCTAAATATCAGGCCACAATATAATGGCAGATAATTAATTCAAATTGAGAGAGTAATAAAAAGCTTTTAAATTATAGGTTTTTGTAAATTATTTAATCACATTTGGTTCTTTCTTTATGCAGCGGCTATTAAGAAAACGAATGCAGATACTTTATTTTATTTTATTTACCTGTATTTAACCAGGCAAGTTAGTTGAGAACTAAAATTCTTATTTTCAACCATGGCCTGGCAAGAGGAGGATGTCCTCTTGATGGGACACAAGGAAAAAAGATTATGAAAAAATAACATGGACATACAGATTAAAGCAACACAATATACAAGAAACATAGTAAAACATAAATACAAACACATTTCACAATGGGAAGCAAGGCAGCAAGGGCAACATAATAGGACCTTGGTGAAAGCAGCATGGAGTAAATGTTATGAGGGAGTTGAAAACACATGACAAGGTTTTAAAATCGATTAGGTTAGTGTCTTCAAGAGATTTCCTAAAAGCAGATATGGAGATGAAAGTGTCTAGTTTTAAGATATTTTGTAGGTTATTGCAGTCATTGGTTGCTGCATGTTTGTTTGGAATGAGGAGCGAATCTGTAAAAAGTGTCAACATATTACATCTCCCGAAAGAAGAAATTACAAAGAAAGACAAAGCAAGCACCTCAAGGCAAGAAGCATAAATAGAAAATGGATAATAATGATATATGATATATTTTACTTTGCCATTAGGCTATATTTTGATTAAATATATTAACACGTTCAGTGGATCGATACATTTCAACCAAGCGGGAAGCTTCTTATACAGTCCCTGATTTCAACAGGTTATAGACTGGTATTTTTCCACGCCGCATAGTGAGACACGTGACTGCGCCTTTCAGCTCCGGGCCTCTAGGTGGCAGCGTGACGTTTGTCACAGCGCTGCGACGTCACCGGTTGGAAGCGGAAGTGGCTGTCAGGTCTGTGGCTGTAGATGAAGACGTGAGAGGAGTCTGAAAAATGTTTAGAAATACTTATAAACCTGTAAAAAGGACAGTTTTACTCCAGCAGTCATGAAGACAGTGTTTGTGACCGTCGGCACCACAAGCTTTGATGACCTCATTGAAAGCATCACGTGTCCAGAGACAGTTCAGGTGAGTAAGACGCTAACCGACACACCTTACCTATCGTTACATGTGCTGCTAGTTTCCTTTTCCATACTACAAAATACCAATAATACTGCTACGATGTATTATGTACACTCAGTGGTGGAAAATGTATTTATTATTATTTATTTTTAAGACATGTGCCTTCCATGTGGGAGACAAGGGTTCGATTCCCGACACTTAACCCCAAGCTTCAGGCGTGCGACCTCTTGACATAGCACATATGGGTCACTTTCGATAAAAGCGTCAGGTAAATGTAATGTACTTAGTTACTTTCCACCACTCTGTATACTGCTAACTGGAATTTGAGTATAGGCGTTGACCCTAGAAAAGCTATCAAATTAATAGGTGTTATTTTATAACATTAATAAGTTGTTATTTTATAACATTAATAACAGGAACTGTTGAATGTAATTTGGCCAATGATCATGATATTACTTACAACTCAGATTGATAAGTCAAAATGTTTGCTGTCACATGCTAGCACTTTTTCAAAATATGTGCTTCACAGTATTAAACCAGATTACTATTAAACAATGATATGAAATCAATACAGAAATAAAATTATATAATAATAAAGGAAAGGATTTAATCAAATACTTAAAAAACACATGTTAATTATAGGCCAGACTAAACAAATATGATTTAAGATTTCCTTTAAGAAACACAAGGTTATCAACCACCTTGAGATAGTCTGGGAGGTATTTCACAGTTCAGGGCCGTTGAACCTGAAACCTGAACTTGGACTGACTAGCAGGGATGTGTAGTAAGTTACAACGATCTAAGGGATCTGGCTGGAACATATCTAATGATCACATTGCTGAGTTGAACAGGGACAAGGTCATGGAGACATTTAAAGACTAAAATTAGAATCTTAAAGAGACACACATCCTGTGCAAGGGTTTTGTATTGTGGTCTCCCCACTGGTTCTGATCAAGGTCCTAGCAGCAGTGTTTTGTCCTCATGGACAACAGACCATAACACTAATCCTGGCGAGTTAAAACAATAGCTATCAGCTAAAGAGAGCGCTGTCTCTATGCATGCTAAACTAGTTGTAATTTTCTTTCAAATCTTTCATTGACGTCATTGTTCCAGAGTTGCCATTTATTCGACACCTGTTAGCACACATCTTGTATCTTCTTCTGTTTGAGCAAAATGTTTATATTGTGTTAATTCCTTATTATATACTTACTTATATCACCCTAACAAGCCGTTGAGATTGGTCAGTAATTACAAACTCGTGCTGTACAAGCCAAACATTGTTCAAACTCTGAGATCTTTATTTTAAATTCTTGTGGAGCTCCCAAATTATCCAAAGATGCCGAATTTGATGGAATAATGCAGCCTGAAAAACAAGTCTTTGGTCTGAATAGGTCACTCAATGTAAACATCATACATCTTCTATAAAGCGCTGGAACACGGTGTAGTGTTGAATAAAATCATATTTTCAACTGTAGCTTTTTAAATATTATGAAAACTGTACGTTAAGAGGTTTCAACTTTACAATATGCACCTATGCACATAATACACTTAAAATTGCCACTCGGCTCTAAGTGTTAATGATCTGTGTGGAAAAAAAGAAAAACTATTGTCTGGTTCTTAGGAAATTAATCTAGAGAGTCGGCGCAGGTGACTCAGACCTGCTCTTTCTCATGATTAGGGGGGAATACTTCTAGTCTTCACAGAGGTTTTTAATATTTTGTGTGAAATTACTTTGGTCAACATACCACCAGTTTTATAATGATGTATTATTATTTTCTACCCACAGGCTTTAAAGGCTCGTGGATATGAGCGTTTGGTTCTTCAAGTTGGAAGAGGATCTCTTCTGCCTGCTGCTGACAGCTGTCCACACGTCAGACTGGAGGCTTTTCGATTCAAAAGCTCTATAGCAGAAGACATCGAGCAGGCGGACCTCGTTATCAGCCATGCAGGTGAGTAAAATACATAGATTGTATATAAGAAGTGGACATACCGTAAAACTTAAATTAATAGCCGAGTCCCAAATAGCCTCCTATCCCATTTACTGGCCTGGTGTGGGAACACATTTTGACAAATAACGCCTGCCTCAATTTAACGCCTGGTCTAGTTTTTATAGAAGTTCTTTGGATGTATAAAACCTCTTAAACCCCGCAGGGTTGCCTGCTTTAGCTGCTTCTAAGCTGCTTAGATCATTAATACAAATATTAATGTTTAAATGTATGGTCAAAATGTCCATATGAACATGCTACACATCGTTAGATTGGTTAGATTCTCCACAATTCAATAGCTCAGTTCATTACGGG